CGGCAGAATTTCGTGAGCGCTTCGCCTCCCGGCGCTTCGTCGGCCGGTGTATCCCCAGCCTTAGCCAGCTAGTTTCTTCTGATGGAGGGATCTGTTGCTGTTCTGAGTCATTCTGGAAGCAACTGAAACTGTCAAGAATGGAGCTGGCGAGATCTCTTTCTACGGGGAGATCTCATGCATAAAATCTTCCTGGTATTTTTTGTACAGACCATAGAACTGGTAGAACTAAAAACGTTGCACGTCCACTTTAATAGAGGCATTTCTCTAGAAATAACTGTGGCTTTGGGTTAGACATATCTGTATTGTAACCACATTAGACTGATGTAATTTTACAGCAGCTAATCCTCCACTGACAGACTGTAGCAGAGGCTTTGCTGCTTGTTCTGATTATGAGATCAGAGTCAAAATAAAAATCTGAATCAGGATTATTTGCAGAAGGAAGCAAATGTTTTCTTCATGATTCACCTGTATAACTCGTTGGTTGTTACTGTAGAAGTTTCAGTGAAATACAACATACAGGAGACACACATAGTGAGATCTGAGCAGTGAAACCAAGTTTATGGGATTTACAGAACGTGTGTAACAATAGACTAAATTAGGCAGGCGCATACATTTGGGCTCTGTTGTTATTTCATTGATTCCAAAACCTTTAGAACTATTTATTGGAACTCATATTTGGTTTGGTTAGCTCAGTGACCCTTGACCTCCATACTCAGGTGAATCCAGTTATGAAAAAGAGTATTTAAGGGGCCAGTCGTAAATTTCCCTCCTCTGAATATTCTCCGAAGAGCAGCAACATGGGCTCTCAGAACAACTCTCACAGGACCTGGAAACAAAGGTTGTTCACCATCTTGGTTTAGGGGAGAATACAGAAAGCTGTCTCAGAGATTTCAGCTGTGCGTGTGTCAGGGTCTGGGGTGAGTCCTGCTTTTTCCTGCCACTTCTCTCTTGAGTCTGTGCAGATGGGCGGAACCGGAGAGCGGGCACCTGCAGCTCATCTCCGGATTACCTGATCTGGGATAAACGGAACCTGGAGATCACGTCAGCTTGCTGGATGATTGCTCAACATTGGTAGCGTGGCCTCTACAGTTAACTGAGTCTAAAGTCTTTGAAACTGTGGTATGTGAACTAGTTTGATTCTTACTTATAGTCTTCTGTTCAGCCTGTCTGTTGCACCATTTTCCACCACAACAAGGACCCAGATTAATCTCGGAGTTGGATCTCCCTCTTCTCCCAAACCGTCCCGCTGGCCATCCTCTGGAACCTCACTGACCTCAGCTCACCCCAGGCCTGTCACCCCTCCCTCTTTGCATGGAAACCACTTATCAGTTAGCTACCTCAGACTCAGAACAATCCCTTATCATTCCACATGCAGTAACATGTCAATAGTCTCAGCAGACCCTGCCTGGAAACCGTGATTGCCATCGCCTCCGTTATGGATGGCGCACCTTCAGTATGCATTTATACATCCTTTATTTTGCTTACCCTTGTGTTCCGTGTATGATTCTGCATGTCGTGGATTAGGAAACTCCCCTCAGACATGACAGTGTGTTTTCACAGTTAGAAACAACGCCCCAGACAGAGACTAAAAGTGGACATGTTCACAGAAAAGAGAACGTTGTAGGCAAGCAGCCAACTGGGATGAAGTCAGATGGGCCAGTCCACCCCTGACAATCCCCAGACCTGAATATTATTGAACATCCGTGGTGTGATTTGGCGAGCTGTCCATGCTCAGAAGCATCAAATCTGAGTGAACTAGAGATGTTTTATAAAGAATGGTCCAGAATACCTTCAACCAGACTCATTAGGAGCTGTAGGAAGAGGGATCTTTACAGTATGCTCTAATGGGAAACAGGCTTCAACACAAACGGTTGTTTTCCGCTTGGTCCTAGAGCTCAACCAGTGTCAATTTAATATAGCGTAATATTGTTTTTGGCTGGTAAAAAGTGCAGGGGTCAAAACTTGACTTTGGAAAAAGTGGGGGGGGGGGCATGCCCCCCCCCCCCCCAAATTACGTCCATGTCTTGCTCACATACTGTAAAAAAGATGAATAAATACCTTCAGATGAACACATCGTTTCCCTCCAGGAATCACAACCATCACGGTCTTAGTGTGTGTGTGTGTGTGTGTGTGTGTGTGTGTGTGTGTGTGTGTGTGTGTGTGTGTGTGTGTGTGTGTGTGTGTGTGTGTGTGCTTAAAAATCCAAGCTGAGTTTAATGATTTCTTTTTATATATATTTTATATATTATTCCTACAAATACATGATTTTCAGCACTTTGAAAAATGTTCACTTTCCCCAGTAAACTGAAGAAGCTAAAAACATCCTACAATCAAAAAGAAAAGACAACCGCTGACAGAAAAAAAGAAGTGAAAAGAACAACAGAATGAAATAAAAATAAAAAAACAACATCCTGTACAAACACTATGGCCCAATAAGTTAAGAAAATAGTGTCTCTAAAACGTTCATATTGCTTTGTACCTCCACTGGCCAGGTCCAACCTGGGCAACACCAGGCAGTTCTGATCCCAGGTGCTGATGTTACTCCCGAGGTTCAGGGGTCAAGCTGCAGCCGGCGGCTTGTTGCAGAAGAGAAACAGTCACATTTGTCCGGGTGTTCACTTCTTCTCCGGTTGTTTTGGCAGTAACAATACAAAGACGAGGGATGGTAGCACTACCACAGAACCGCACTCCTCATGAGGGATGGTTTGAGTGTTTGTCGTAGTTTAACCATTATTACTTTCTACAGCATTATTACTAGAACTATCACCATCACAGATACACAGAGTGCATCGTGTGTGTGTGTGTGTGTGTGCGTGCGTGCGTGCGTGTGTGTGTGTGTGTGTGTGTGTGTGTGTTCAGTGCTCAGAACTGGTTTTCTCAAAGGAAAAACTGGGAAGAGTCAACAGTTTGGTGTTCGGTGAGCCTCCGTCCGGCACCGGGACCTCTCCGACTCCCAGGTCGAACGAGTCCTTAGAGTCACTAGAGGGCGCTCTCCTCCTCAAACAAGTGTTCCTGCTCGGCAGAGGAGAAGGCATCCCAACTCCCGCTAGTCCCATCCCACCCAAGGTGGAGTACAGCCCAGATTGCGCCTCAAGCTCATCCGGGGGGTCCACAGATATGCAGGGTGGACTCATCTTTTTCTTGCGGCGGGGGGAGGGCAGCGAGGCTTGGGCGGGGATCTGGCTGTGAATCTGCAGGCTGTCGGTCTGGGACACAAAGCCGGAGGAGGTGGAGGTGGATCTGCGTTGAGGGCTAGGGTCTTCGGCCGAGTAGACCTCCACAGAGTGGCGGCGCGGGTCGTCCAGCCATGAGTATGGGTGGGGGCGGGGCAGGAATGTGCTACGGCCCTGCGTGTCAGCACTGTGAAACCTCTTCAGCTGCCTTAAACATGAACTCTCCTGGTGGCTCACATAATCGCGGTAACCCTCAGTATCCACACTGCTGCTGTCCTCTGCTATGATGTCACCACTATCAGCCAGTCCTCTGCAGGTAATGAGCGACACCTCCTGATCTTCCGAAGCTTCGCCCCCCCCACAGTCCTCCGGCTGCTGCTGTTGTGGCCTGGCTGGTAAGGGAGGAGGAGGTAGAGTGGAGGATGGAGAGGAGTAGGACGCGAGGCAGTGCTGGTCGTGATGTTGGGTGTGCACGCTGCTGGGGCGGGAGCATGTGGGGGAGGCGCCTGGTGTTGCAGGGACCAGGCAGAGTGCTGGCCGCTGCTGCTGCTGCTGATGATGGGGGATGGAGAGAGGTAGGCCCAAAGCTGCCACATTCAATAGTCCTTCACTGCTTTCTCCTCGGTCTGAACAGAGAGCCTCCTGAGAATCAGTGGACACAGCAACCTGGAAAACGGGGCATGGGGGGGAAGGGGAGTGACATATTTAGGAGGAGATGGAGGTAAATGCACAATGGGAAGAGAAAAACCAGAGAGGTTGAGAGGGGGAGAGCAGTTAGTGTGAGGAGATGGGGATGAGAAAAATAGTTTGGGTCAAAGTTCACAGTCTGGTCAGAGGGTCCTTCATTACAGGGAGCTTCAGCTGCAACGTTCGTAACCCAGGCGGACTGGTTTTCCCACTGCGGGAGTTCCAGGTGAACATTTCTCAGCAGCTTTCAGAGTAAACAACTTCTGACATAACTGGATGCTTCCTGCTTGCTGGGTCTGTTGAGCCTCGTACTTCAGCCTAAACTGTGTTTCCACCGGAGATCGTTCCTGTCAAACATTTGTGAATTATGAAGCAAACTGTTGTTCTTTTCCTTTCGTAGAGTAAACAAACAGCCCGTTTCCAGACATGCTTGCCAGCCTGGGAGGTCACAAAATGTAAAAACTCCTGGATAGTTTTGTTCTGTCACGACTATTTACCAAGATAACGCTGACACGGTGATGGCACTCAACGCAGAAGCCGTACAGAGTTGAGACCACTGACATGAATAATAAAGGTCTATGGTCCGCCTACGTTCTGCCTTCGGTGTGAACGAGGCTTTAGAGGTGCGTGCTGCATGTTCCCCACCAGCAGAGCCTTTTGACTTTTTCATGCTGACTAGTGCTGCTTGAGTTTAGACTTCAAAAGGAGACTAAGTGAACGCCATTTTAAAAGCATGACAGAATAAGAGCGTGCTTGTGAAGTAAAACGTGAGAAGATCATTTTAAATATAAAACTATTTGGTCATTTGCGTTATTTTGTGATCTTCTGGAGAAGAACTGCATCCAGCTTCATAATTGGTTTGTCTTTTGCTTTTGGGGCAATAACAATAATAAATTATGAACCCGGGACATGTCGTTAAGTCACTGAATTTGTTTGTAGGAGCACAAAGACCCAGGATGTTTCCTGCTGGCAGACATGTTGAACTTTGAGCCAGACCACATGACCCTCCAACCTTTGCCCGTTGACACAAAACCCTGTAAACCACCATCAGCCTCATTTAGAATGGGGTTTCCAGTGAAAGCACGATTAGTGTGGGCTGTATCCTGACCTCTGTGCAGAACCATGCTCAGGGTGAGAGGCCAATAGACGGAGGGTAAACATGACATGTAAACTACTGAAGGGAAGAAGCAGGTGGGATGTCCCGGTGAACTAATCAGTTTTAAAGCGATGGAAGCAGGAAATGCATGGGCTTATAGGGTTTGGATTCTTTCCAGTGTGAACAGCGTGGCAACAGAGACCTCTAGTGGTGAGAGAAGGAGTTCACAGTCTGGCTCTGCCAGCAGTCCCAGCACCATTTAACAGCTCAGAGAAGTGAATCCCGCGAAATTACCACGAGGTATTTTTTTACTTTGAACAAAAGGGGCTAAAGACTGTTCAATATCTAATATGGGGGTTAAAAATTCACAAGGTGCTCTATTACCGTAAGTACAAAAAGGCCAGATACACGAAGACGGTTGTTTCTGTTTAGCTGGAATCCCCTGAGTAGTTGTGTGTTAAACGTAAGTGCAAATGTAGCCACATTACACCTGTTTCCAGCTACAGCACACTCCATGATGTCATCGACTAGGACTGTGGTTTAGCCACAGTCGGGTTACACGGAAGTCACAGACGCTTTGTGGTTGATGGTTGGCAGATAAAACAAATTTGGGTGAATGAGGGACGATGATGGAGAATGAGAGTCTGTAAGAGTGCGTTGGTCTGAAAATCTTGCTGAGGATGAACATGAAGGTCCGGTGTTTCTGAACGATCTGGCGGAAGCTAAAATGTGCTTTCAGAAACAGGAGTATCTGTGTTTGAGCAGTAGCTCAGGGTCGGGCGGCTTTTGGGCCCAGCTGAGCTGAGGTCAAAGATTAACAGATACCAGTGTGGAGAAATGGGACGGCAGATCGGTTTGCAAATCAACAGGAGTACCAGGAGGGGCAGGGGAAAGAGGGAGGGGAGGAGGAGAATGGAGGAGTTCAGAACACTCAGAGAAACCTACGACTTGTTACACAGCATGGCGGCGGTTTCTCATCCCAATAGTTTGTTCGTCTGAATAAACATAAAATACCAACATAAGTAAAAAAACATAAAGAAGCTTGAATAAAAACGTATTAAAACCCACTTAACCCAAAATGAATAAAAGCAAAAAGTGACTTTTCTCATAGATGTGGAAGTTAACGGGTTTATGCTTTACAGAGCCGAGTCGTCTGGAAGAAGTGATTCCTAATGCCTCGTTGTGGTACTTAATCACTCATTAACCCCGATTTCACACTGCAAGCATCAGCGGAACGGAGCAGCGGCGCGGCGGCTCACTTGCCAACTTCAAATCGGTCCTTTTCACACCGGGAGAGTCTTGGCCGCGGCACGGCTTCCTCGCTGCGCCTCGCTGTACTCGCGACATTCTAACTCGAGACTTCCGACACCTTCCTCATCAAGAGATCGCAACCCCCGCAAGGAATCACACCGTTGCACTTCTCGAAAGAAACTGGTGGTAAACAAAGCCGTTCGGTCACACGTGCTGACGTAAGTTATATATAACATCGCAACGTTGCATTTTATTTTGAAAATATCCAGGGATTTTACACTGAAACTGTGTGCGGTTTCCTGTCTCGCACTATGTGAACTGCGAAAATTGAAGTGTCCCAGAAGCGGCTCGCAGAAAAATTAGAGCTCGATCCTATCTTTAGCCGCGCGGCGCAGCATGCCGCTTCTGGGACACGCCTGGAAATTGCCGCGTCGTTGCTGGTTTGAAACACTCCATAGACTATAATTGGATTCTATTAGAAGTGGTGCAGCTTCGCTGCCGTTCCGTTCCACTGATGCTTGCAGTGGGAAACCGGGGTAAGTCTCCAGACAGATGGGCTAATCTGCCACATCCAGTTCATGCCAAAGCCCTCTGGTGGAGGATCTGCAGCTGGTAGGGCCAATGTTTTAGTTTATATTCGTACACAATCACATAATAGAACATGTTATTATGGAGCTGTGCTATTAACACTAGCAAAATTATAACAGTACTTGTTTCTATTAATATTATTTAATATGTCAGGTTTAAATGTCAGGATGCTAGAAGAGCCTTTGTATGCCTTGTTCCAGATAACGATGATAAAACAGCTACACTTCCTGAAGGCCTTCAAAGATTTTTTATTTTAAACTCTGGCGGCTTTCTCACTAATCACACTGTTTACGGTATGCACACGAACCAGATGTAAACGTGCTTCTACACTCAGTGGTTGAACCGGAGTTGTGACACACAACTCAAAGAGCTGGTTTCAAACTGGATCTTTAGACACGCGGTTACCAGGAGTCAAGGAGAAGCTGTATGATGTAATCATACAACAAAACAGACACGTGGCTGACTTCCACCCTGACCTATGGTATGGCTTGCTGTCTAAATATCATTATTTCAGTTCCAACTGTCCTCAACCTTTCCTGAAAGATCCTAAAGATCTGATCAAATTAAAACTGTGTTGCAGCCCAATGTTTGACTTTTCTAGATCAGCAGTAAGGTCTGAAAGAGCTCGAAGTTCTGCAAGAACTTTGCTGATTTCTCATTCTGTCCTTATGCAAAGTGGGTTTTAATGCTTTTTTTTCTATTTACATTTAAATGCTGATTGAAACTGCTAAGAACACACACACACACACACACACACACACACACACACACACACACACACACACACACCCCTATGCAATTAGATGTAAGATGTACACTCTTCTGTTTGGGCTACATTAAGTTTGATGGAAGAATAAATAAATAAATAAATAAACAAATAAACAAATAAATAAATAAATAAATAAAAAATAAATAAATAAATAAATAAATAAAACGCTACTTCTAGGGCAGACCCCAACAAGAGGACAACACCCTTTTTATTTCATTCTAATGTGACTTTTAAAGCACAGACTGTTGGCATTGTGATAGTTTTTATTGTACAAAGTATGGTATTATTTCCGTGCTACGGTATTTTAATTGTTTCATGGTTATCCGCAATTAGGAGTTCACAGTGTTCTGGCACAAGACAGGAAAAGTGCTTTTTGTAGTCACCTGCCGGCGGAGTGTGCGACTGAGTGTGTGTGTGCGTCTGGGAGGGGGTTGTCGGGGAACGCTCTCAGAGTCTGAGTGGCTGTGGGGGCTGATGGGCCTGAAGAAGTCTATAGGGACAGTCAGCTGCTGGGAACACTCCTCAGGCTGCGACTGCACGGAGCCTCTGGAACCTGGACACAGAGCACAGCAGCAGGCCAACATAGCCATTTAGAGCTTTAATCAGAATCAGAATCAGAAAAGGTTTATTGCCATTGTTAGTGAACAAACAATTCACAAACTAGGAACTTGCTTCGGTACTAACGTGCTACATATAACATGAATAATATAATTAAAAAAATAGAATAAAGTAGAATAAAGTAGAATAAAATATAATAAACTAGCATAAAACTTTGCTATAAAAATGGCAGGTAATGGTAACATGGCCGATAACGTGACGTTATGTCAAGTACCGAAGACGAGCATGGTTGTGTGTTTATAAGCTGTTCACAAGTCTAATGGCAGATGGAAAGAAGCTGTTCTTATGGCGAGAGGTTCTGGTCCGGATGGACCGTAACCTCCTGCCCGAGGGAAGCGGCTCAAAAAGTCTGTGTCCCAGGTGAGAAGGGTCAGCTGCTATCCGACCTGCACGCCCACGAGTTCTGGAGACGTACAGGTCCTGGAGAGATGGAAGGCTGCAGCCAATCACCTTCTCAGCAGAGCGCACAATGCGCTGCAGTCTATGTTTGTCCCTCACTGTGGCTCCAGCGTACCACACAGTGATGGAGGAAGTGAGGATGGACTCAATGATGGCCGTGTAAAACTGCACCATCATCTGGGTCGGCAGATTGGCCTTTTTCAGCTGCCGCAGAAAGTACATCCTCTGCTGGGCCTTTTTGAGCAGGGAGCTGATGGATGGCTCCCACCTAAGGTCATGTGTGATGGTGGTTCCGAGGAAGCGGAAGGAGTCCACAGTGGTGACGGGGGTGTCCGTCAGGACGAGGGGGAGAGATGGGGCTGTTACTTTCCTGAAGTCCACAATCATCTCCACTGTCTTCTGAGCATTGAGCTCCAGGTTGTTGCTGCTGCACCAGTACACCAGCCGTTCCACCTCTCTCCTGTAGGCGGACTCATCACCGTCAGAGATGAGCCCGATGAGGGTGGTGTCGTCCGCAAACTTGATTAGTTTAACGGAGTCATGGCTCGAGGTGCAGCAGTTTTTGTACAGGGAGAAGAGCAGAGGAGAAAGTACACAGCCCTGTGGAGATCCTGTGCTAATTGTCTGAATGGTGGAAACATTCTTCCCCAGCCGCACGCACTGCCTTCGGTCCGTCAGGAAGTCAGTGATCCACCTGCAGGTGGAGTTGGGTACGTTGAGCATGGAGAGCTTGTCCTGGAGCAGAGCAGGGAGGATGGTGTTGAACGCAGAGCTGAAGTCCACAAACAGGATCCTAGCGTCGGTGCCCGGGGAGTCCAGGTGCTGCAGGATGAAGTGGAGGGCCAGGTTGATGGCGTCGTCTACAGACCTGTTGGCTCTGTATGCGAACTGCAGAGGGTCCAGGTGGGGGGAGGTGAAGGACTTGAGATGGGGGAGGACCAGGCGCTCAAAAGACTTCATGACTACAGACGTCAGTGCCACAGGCCTATAATCATTCAGTTCAGTGACATGGGGTTTCTTAGGTTTCTTTAATAATTATGTCTGAGCGGAATGATTATATAACATATTCCAATAATGGTATTTAATAACGAAACTTGGTATTTCTACAGGACCTCTAGAAAAGTGGTCCTGAATGTTCAAGAATGTCTTCTAGATAAAGGAAACCAAGGCTCATTAGCCTGTTAGTGTTTGACCGCAGCAGGTAATGTGTCTTTAATCAGCATGAAAACAATTTATTAGATATAACTTAATGGTCTAACCATAATCAGAATCATAGAAATGCACACAAAACTCTGTGAAGATATAAGATTTGCACAAGCAGGGGAAATCTTTTAAAGCCATTTCTACACATCAGACTCCAGATCATCAGATCAACTGTAAATATGTGTTACTGTGATGGCACAGCTGTCCCCTGGATACAAAAACATCTTTCAGGGAAATCCCAGGAGCCAACATGGCTCAAGTCTACCATGAATCCTGCTGGAGAGCCAGTGGGTGTTTCTCAATGCCAAGGCGCCTTGCTTACGAGGACAGTGTCCTTCGTTGGTCAAACCAAACAGTTAAGTGGAACAGACTTGCATCACATGACCGCGGCTTCCACGGTGATCACGTAACGTCACGTGACACGGGAGATAACGTTATATTTTATACGTATTTGTTTCAATATAAATATATAATGAGCCTTTTACTTTTTAAATTGTGTATAACTAAATATGTAAGCAAGTTACTACCCGCTAGCCACCGAAGCTGCAACTACTAAGCAACTAACCAACCATAGATAACTTCTTTGGATCTAAAAAAAACATTTTGAATTAGTTGACTTACTTTTTAACTTGAAAATTTTCCCCAAAGTAGCTGCCGGCTTCTGAGCCGTCATCCTTTTGAACATACCGCGGTGTATTCTGGGTAATTTTTGGCTAACAAATGGAGAACAAACGCCTCGGTGGAACATGTCTAGAGTCGCGGGGGCAGCAGCCTAAGTCGAGAGGCCCAGACTTCCCTTCCCCAAGATGTTCCCTGGCCAGCTGAAAGACATAGTCCCTCCAATGTGACCTGGGTCTCCCTTTAGGCCTCCTCCCTGGTTGGACGTGCCCGGAAAACCTCACTAGGGAGGCATCCAGGAGGCACCCTAACGAGATACTCGAGCCACCTCAACTGGCTCCTCTCAATGTGGAGGAGCAGCGGTTCTACTCCGAGCCCGTCCCAGAAGACCGAGCTTCTCACCCTATCTCTAAGGGATAGCCAATCCACCCTGCGGAGAAAACTCATTTTGGCCGCTTGTATCTGTGATCTCGTTCTTTCGGTCATTACACAAAGCTCGTGACCATAGTTGACAGTAGGAGCGTAGATCAGGCAGGCCTTCAAAGTTTTTATTTTATTTTAAAATGAACTCCATGGTCCAACAAATTTATAAAAATAAATAAAATAGCTGTGGTTTCACAGCAGGACCATTCTGCACCATGTCTGAAAAAATAGAACCAATATCTGTCAAAACTGACTCAGCATAATTACCTAGTTTCCACCAATAAAAGCCACCAAATTAAATGAACTGTACTAAATCTAGCAGTGTGAGCCGGAGTTATACCAGAAGAGTGTCGATGGATAAAACTAACATCTGGGAAAAGTGCAGCTTGCTTAGAAACATTCAGCCAAACATTCGTGGATATCAGAGTTCAGATCCCGCGTGGAAGAGAGAAAATCTAAAATAAATTTCTGAACGCAATGTTTGTTTTAAAAATCATTGAATTTGTATGTTGTGTAACCATTCCAATTTTGTTGAGATCTGGACAGCTTCTGATCACAACTGTACCGAGTAGCTACCACCTTTGTTGAAACGAAATCCGTACCTGATTGGGCCCTGTGGATACCCAGTAAACATTGGGGTTCCTGTGACGGTGCTACAAGTCGTGCTGAAGCTGAAGATGAGGGGCCAAAGGGCGCCATGGGGAAGAACATGTAGCTGTCGTTGGGTAGAGAATGGGTGCGTCCCACCGCTGGCTTTTTGACGCTCAGCAGGTTGTTCTTCAGAGGCTTCCCAGAACCGAGCTGCTCTGGCTGGAAAAGCAAAACACAGAGTCAGAGTCTCTTTGTATCAAAGATAAGCCACTTTTTTATTCACACACTCACGTTCACAACTGTTATCTTTCTAAAGACACCATGTGGACAAAGAGGCTGTGATCGTCAGCATACACAAGACACATATTGGAGTCAGCTGGCACAGAGCTGCCACAGATCACAGAAACTTCTCAAATTCCAATCTTTTAAAAGAGTACCCCTCAGAGTTTTCACTTCATAGGCACTCTCTCCGTGACTGTGTGTCAGCTAGGGCAGCGAACAGAAATGTAACCAGTTTCAGCCGATTCACTGGAGCCCCTACACACTTTGCAACCCCATGTAGCAAAAAACGACTGCTCCAAGTGGAAGGAGATTTACTACGCTAGAGGACAGGGGACAGTACAAACAAGAGGACTTCAAGATAAGACGTGGACTCACATCTAAAGCACGAGTAAAAATGGTGAAAACGTGACAGACGGAAAGGTCGAGGATTTCAGACGAACTGCATAGGAAGTGAAAAAGGAGACAGGAGAGAAAACAACTGCTAAGTGGAGGAGGTGGACTACTCTACTGGACGATATTCAGCATAAAGAAAAAACACCAACTAGAATGGAAACTAGTAGTTTAGCCACATGTTTAGATTCAGCACAGACTCCCAAAGACACTTGCACTCCTCTATTACCTTTTCCCACTCTTCTATCATGTTTAGTCGCCTCCTCATTTACAACTGGGTTGGACTACTTTTATTTTATATTGATTTAACCATTCTCTCGCCTTCCCCCATTTGGTTGGTTGCACTTTAGTCCTTTACCAGAGGCTGGAGGGTTCATAATCCTACCTGTTCTTGGGAATAGGTTGTTCCTGCACACTATTCCAATTACTTGGTTGTGGAATTCCATGTTCTCTTTGCCAGTTTGCAACTTATATCCCACCAGTGTGTACTGGACAGGCACAGTCTATATGTTGAGATCTGTTAGGACCCTGGTTTGCATTGCTCTCATCTAGTACCTCAGTAATGTCCTTCTGTCTAGCCATTCTCACCCCCACTCAGGTCTCATTTACACAGACGAGGTCCGGTTTCCCTACAGCTTCACACAGACATTTATTCTGCTCCGAACATTCACATCGGCTGCGGTGCTGGATCTGGACGCAAAGTTCCAGAAGGTTTCTGCATGGAGTCCAATTTTTCCAGATGTCCTAGGGTTGAAGCCAAGCCCCCACAATGCGGGTGAAAAATTGAGGCCAACCCGGAAGTACCATAAATTGCAGTTCTACTCTCATCCACTGGGGGCTGGTGTCAGAAGCGAGCAAATCCTCATTGACTTTTGGGAGACCAATGTTTTCCACCCGGTTTTCCCCTCCCCGCAGCTCGGCACATCTCTGTCTGATCGCGGCTTCTGTCTGCTGCGATGCTGCCGGCTGGTTCTCCCCGCAGCTCGGCGCATCTCTGTCTGATCGCGGCTTCTGTCTGCTGCGCGGGCTGCCGGCTTGTGGAGCTCTCGGATGGAAACCTTTCCACCCGGTTCTCCCCAGCAGCAGCTCTGCGCATCTCAGATCGCAGCGGCGCTTGTCTGCTGCGCGGGCTGCCGGCTTGTGGAGCTCTCAGAGACCTCTGTGTTCCACCCGGTTTTACCCAGCGGTCAGCCCGGCATAGCTCTGACTCAGAAGCTCCTGTGTTGTGCACAGTTAACTCCGGTTGTAGCTAGGTTGCTACGTCCCTTATCTTAGCTCCCACCTCCGTGTTAGCTTTGGGTTAGCTTCAGGTTAGCTTGTAGCTAGTTCGACTGGGTGTCGTCAGTTGATCCCAGCCTTAGAGCCCCACCCTCAGCTCCACCTCTCTTCCCTTTTGTGGAATTGTCTGGGCTTGATGGAACCTGCGACACGGTCAAAATGGCGGTGGTGGCCACCTCCCATTTTTCTTCAAAAAAGTGTTATTGGAGCCTATGGAAACCCATTGTCCATATAAGTATATGTCGATGGTTGAAACCCTCTTCAAAATGAGGTACATTATATTCCGTCAGTAGTAGTAAAACTATCAAAATGTAAGAGGTTTAACTACTAGTGCTTTTATCTCCAGTTCTTTGGCCGTGCTATCCTACGACTGTCCATTCAACCCGGGTCTTGAAAATCTACCTCACTCTATGAACTTAGACCACAGCAGACCTCCTTATTGCCTCGTCATAGCTGCCACTTAGTTGTGCTGTCACAATATACATGTAAGCATCCCGAATGTCTAAAAGGTTCCCCTTTGTCTCTGTTCACACACTTGATTTATGATCATCTTACTTCGACAAGTTGAAAAATCGGCACCTAAATTTTGGTGGAAAACAGAATTTTAAATAGTTTCCACTCTGTTTTAGGAAACATCACATCGACTTTAGATGAGTGTTTGCACACCAAACACTGCATGTATTTGCACACTCTTTCACAGCTTTTTTATTTCAGCCCACTAAAAATGTGTTACTTTCTTAGAGTTTGAGGGTAGTAGAAGAGGAGTCCAAGTGGTTGTGGAAGTGGCCTTGTAAGGAGACAGTACAAACTACTGCAAGACAGAGTGAAGGAAAGAGCGATGGAGAAGGTGAAAGAGAAGAACTGTCAGTACATTGCATTCCAGACTGGTTAGAAAGAAGGGGTTAAAATCATCGGGGGCTGAGTCGTCTGTCAGAGCTAGGGACCAGGATTTTTCTGAGGCCAAAGACAGAGCTTTCATCTCCGCTAGAGGGATCTAGGTAGGAAGAGACAACCGCTGGTGAGCAGAGAGAACATCTCACACTCCTTACCAAACACAAATAGAACTCATAAGACCTGCAGCTGGCAGCGGAAACCCAGCAAGCCTGTAAGGAGGTTCTCAGCTTTAGACATTTAGTCAACAATGCTGTGATTGTGTCTGTGGAGTAAGGTTGTGTGATGCACATGACACAAGTGGTCATCAGGGAAATCTGGAGATGATGGATATGAGACAGAATTACAACAGTGGTGCAAATGTGAAAAGCTGAGAGATAGAAGGACATCTAAATGAACACAATGAAGTGAAACACACATGCTGCAGAGTTCGGTTTCATTCTGAATGTCTAAGACTTAAGGCTGATTTATACTTCTCCGTCTGCATTGGTACAGTAACGTCATTATGTGTCGCACAAGCACTGTCCGTCAGGCTTGCAGAGGATGACGACGGGGGGGGGGGGGGGGGGGGGGGGGGTGCTGTGTCATTTAACTGCTTGGTCTAACATGGTTTGGGGGCTGCATAAGAAACTTGAGCGGGTGCCTAGCTTCTCCTATCTCCTGCCGGGGAACAGTCAGAGCGGGTAGCTGCCTGTTCCCATCTCCTGGGGCAGCCGGACTGGCTCCGAAGTGAGGCTGTAGTCGTGCTGGATCTCTGAGGGAGACCACAGAAACACTGCAGCTTTTTTTGACGCTGCTTCACTTTTGAGACACTCAAGTGCATTTTACTTGGTGAAAACAGCCAGAAAAACTCTGTTAGCTAATGTCCCGCTGATCTCTGCCTCCCGGAGAAGGGAACATCAATAACGGCGGACACGCAGATCTTTCACCGCGGTGGACCATTGAAGCCCGATATCCCCGGTCAGCTTACCTAGTTCTGATTTCGTTACCAAGCAGGCCGGAGGTGCCTTTACTTTCGAGTCACTCTACCACATTTTTCTTGCTGAAAACGGCCGGGAAAACTCTGTTCGCTTCGGTTTAGCATGTTGCTAGTTTCCTGCTTATTTGTGAAAGTGGAGCAAGAGCTGATGTAAAACGCCATGGAGCCCGGTTACGATGGCAGCGGCCTGAGTCTCCGCATGTAATTTAACAGTCTCAGTCCATATTAGATCTCCACAGGTGACCAACATGACTACAGCCTCGCACAGGAGCCAGTCTGCCATGCGAGTGGGACACCCTGTACCCCGGAGCCCTTCTTAGCTTCTTGGGTTAGCTAAGTTAGCTAGTAGCTACACTGGTTCATTTGTTCCAACCCTGTTCCAAACGTAACAGCCTCACCCTTAGCTCCACCTCTTTTCCCATTTTTGGATTGTCTGGCCGTGACGGGACCTGTGACACGGCCCCATTTGGGCACACAAACTTTATATTTGAGCCTATGGACCTGACTTGTCCAGAATAAATGTCGATGGTCAGGACGCTGCTTCCTATAAACAGCACCGTATTTGCAACCTCACAAAATAAAAAGATGCTTACCGGCAGACATGGAACTAATTAAAGAAAAAGTCAGAAAATATAAACGTTTATTCACCGGTGACTGAAAGAGTACAAAGATATGCTGTAAGCATTTTATTCGTGGACGAAAACGACGGGAAACGTGGGTTTAGAGGTGCCAACTGCATGAACAGGTGGAGGAGAATGAGAGACAACTTTGTCTGTGTTTAAAAGTCGAAAATACATTAACACATCGTGGACCGCACACATGAGTGTAATAGTGGCAGGATACATCAGAAAAGTGCTATGCCCACCGTTGTCCTGGCAGACAATTGATTTGCAACACTCCCCTAGAAGACAAAGAAGTTCAAATGCAAAATTTCTCCTTAAATGTGTGGATCTGAGCTGACAGAGAAGTACAAATCAGGCTTTAAACACATCTGGCTTCTGTAAGAGAAGCTGTTGCATGTTTGGCCTGAAAGCATTTTCACATTTGCCTGGCAAAAGGGCAATTTCTGCACATGGGAGGTGAGTGGAAAACATTCTGGTAAAGAATCAGAAAGAGAAGTGTGCAACGTTTTCCCTTTAATGAGTAAAACAGGCACCTTGATGCATTATTCAGTGCCTACTCCGTCAGCTGATGGAGACATTTTTCTGCAGGCATGTGAGAGTGTGCTAAGCTGCCCTCAGGTGTGCCTTAGGAAGGTTATCACTTTGCTGCGACTTACAAGGAAATCAGGAAATCACATATGCAAACACACACACACATACACACACACACACACATACACACACACACACACACACACACACACACACACACACACACACACACACACACACACACACACACACACACACACACACACACACACACACACTGCAACAACAATTTGTGTAACTGAGACAACTTGGAACACTGAGGCTGTCAAAGCTGAGCTAAATCCTGCCAAGCATGAATCTAAGTGAATGAGATCATAGCTGAGACGGGACATGACACGCTGGACCATGGTGGACCATGGTGGACCATGGTGGGCAACAGAACTGGTTTGGAGGGAAAACATTAAAACCACAGGAACGTCTGAACAAAAATGGTGATGGATAAACAGCAGCAAGCTAATCATCACATCGGATGTGTGTTTGTTTTCCTGGAACATGGGATCTGGCCCTGCAGACAGCATGTTCTTGTTTTATAGAACAAAATGTGCTCAGCCAGCACATAGTGGATGGAACAAGTTGATAAGTATTCATCAGTCAGGGTTTTGCTGCAAGGAACTGATGAAGGTAGGAGTTTAGAGAAAAACAAAGTACCCAGGGTAGATTTTATCTATTAATGGTTACATGTTCTGAAAGTCTGAATTTTGTGTCAAACGAGCCAAGGGTGTTTCCTCTAATGAAGGGATAACCAGTCCAGGGGCCTCATTTATCAAGCTTGCTTACGCACAAAATGGGGTCAGAAAACTGCGTAAGCAACTTTCCACGCAAACTTTGGAATTTATAAAAGAAAACGTAGCGGACAAATGTGCACAACTTTAAGTTGACTAAGGACCTGGCTTACACACATGTTGGACATGGAGAGCACCTGCAGTGCTGCTGCTGAGAAGGATAATTTATGAAATCCTGCAGCATTATCACTTGTACTGCTTCGTTTTCACACAGAACAAGCTTGGACCATTTTTTTATATCCGCCACAGATCTCTTTGAAGAACACAGCATTGACGGCTTCAGCAACGCTGTGCCACTCCGTGGATTTTCTCTTATTAGATTTGCAAAAGCACTTCCTTTCATTTCTCCACCTCACTCACAGGTACCTCAATTTCTGCTTCTGTGAAATTGCGCATCCTTGATCTGCCTTGATCTACGGCCACCATCATCATTGGCGGAGCGCTCCAACAGCCGGCTTATGTATATGCATGAGATCCACAAGGCACTTTGCATTGACTATTTATGGCAGTAAGTGGGCGTGGTGAGGGCGGGATGTGACTAAAATGCAGCTGAGAAACATTCTCGTTAGTCTCTGATTTATGAAGAGGAGATTGCGTGCAGCTGTGCGTCCTCCATGTTTGATAGATCACAAACCTACTTGGCGTAAGTACATTTTTTTGCTGAGCTTAAGTACAGTTTTAGTAAGGATTCTACGCCATGTTTGATAAATGAGACCCCAGGTCCTGGAGATCCACCATCCAGCATGTGTTAGATGTTTCTCTGCTCCTAACCCCTGTTCTGTGGTTGGATCACCTGTTCAGCAGCTCATCAGGCTCTGCAGAAGCTTGTAAATCACCTACCAGACTAAAGTCATAAGTTACTCAAGACAAAATTTAAGTTTTTGAAGTATAAAATGTTAAAACCAATACAAATAATGAGTATATTATTTAGCAGACTTTTTCTATTTGTCTGTATTGTTTGTTATAAAGTAAAATAATAATAAAAACAAAGTTTTGTGGCACATGAGTTGTTTAAACTTTTTGATTTTGGCTGCATCCTGGAAGGTTTGAACAGCACAGATGTAAAGCTACAATGGCACATCTGCAAAACGAGCTAGCTTCAAACATTTTCATGCCTCTTAACAACGTTCTAACATAATATAGCTATAAATATATTGTGAAGATTGTAAAAAAAAAAGGAAAAAAAAAAAGAAAACATTGTCTGTCTAACAGCGGCTCTCTTGCATTTGTCTAAAAACTTCCACCAATAACAAGTTTTGGACAAAAAGCAACTATTGGACCATCAGGTTGTTGGTCTCACTGACCTGCTGCACTCCCCTGGTTCCTCCACTCATTACACACTCACACACATATATTTAGCAACAGAGCACTGCTGGTGTGAGAGCTTAGCTGGCTGCTAGCACTTCAACTTCATAACAAACCACCAGAGTCCTAAAAAGAAAAACACCTTTTGAAGTCAGAAAACAAAAGACGTTTGGACCTAGAAAGTGGCGACTGGTGTTTTGGACTCTCTCGTTTACTGTAGCAGTGCACGTTCCCATATCAGGGGGGCGTGGCCTAGGGTTGAGAGCTGACCGGAGGGGTCAGCGTTGGTGTTTAAAAGCTAGCTTGCTTTGCAGATATGCCGTTGTAGCTTTAATTGGAAGCTAAACATAATTTAAAACGATTGTAATGGAAGACATTTTAATCACTGAACATTTTCTATTAACTGACTACTTAAAGCTTCTTTCTGGAGTATTTCTCTTATCCAATGGCACCATCTAGTGGCTGACAAGCATATCACACCCCTTCTGTATTTTTTTAAGATGGCGACTTCAAGTTTCTGTTTATAAATGTGCTTCTGTAGCTGACAAACAGCTAAAACACGCTGTTTTACGAGTATTATTCTCATGTCATGTTGTGTTTATATTTTAGAGACTTTCTTGTCCTTGAAAAGTTCACCAATTCTGCATCAGCCGAGGTATTCCTAAAATTTGAAGCACGTAAGCGGTAGTCTAACGCTATTGGTTAGTTCTGGTCGGTGCTCAGTTTCCTATTGCACGGAGCTCTGCGGGGCAGGGGGCGTGCTTAGCAAAAAAAAAAAAACTGACATATTGCTTATCACAGTACATGATAAGATCATCACTTTTACGGATTTCTGACAAGTCGTACATCATTTCAGAAAGGAGAAAACTCCGGAAAGATACTTTAACTTTGTGCTGGTGGTATGTTGGCACTAGCCCACGCTCCCCCGTCAGTGGTTTTTTTAACCACCAACTGTTTGAAAAGCGTTTTGTGCATTGCCCCGTAACTCAGTCTCTGAGTAGGAACTTCTTAGATTTAAGCTGAATAGTTTGTCAAGAATAAAAGAAAACATTAACATCCTGGTAAAAAGATGCATTTTTGCATGTAGCCATGCAAACTGGTTTGGTTTACGACTTATTCCTCTACTCTAACACAAGTTAATCCATTTCCATGAGCACAGCTGTGAAAACCACTGCTGAGTTGATAAAACACATTAGCCTTGAGTAAAAGGCAGGATGCATGTTTTAGTCATCGCAGATAGAAATCTCTGCTAGTTCAAAATGATCCTTTAGGCTATGAGAACAGACTTAAATGGAACTGAAAAATAAAAACTCACAGACTTGCTACATGACTGACCACCCCACCCCCGTAATACAATTTCCTTAGTTACTAAATGCTTCCAAAATAAGAGCTGACTTCTGGCTAGTTTCACTTTGAACCAGAATTAGAGCTACCACTTCAGATCTTTGCCCTGGTAAGTTTAAACCTTTTCTAAAAGATTTCACTTAAAAATGTCCAGCGTCTAAAACATTTAGCCTTTATTTGTGAAAGATAAACTTTTATCTCAAATGTAAGACTTTCTGGTTACCACTACCACTACCATTCATGGTTGTCCACAAAATCTCTGATCTCCCAGGCCCTGGGTCAAAGTTTAACATAAACATCTTAGTTTTCAGATAAATAAAAATATTAATCCTGTAAATGTGGAAATTTTTCTCTCAAGTTTAAAGTTTTTGTTTAATTCAGGAAGTTCATCCTGAAAATGTCTTTATTTTTCCCCTCATCTCTGCCGGCCCTGAAGACCTGTGAGGTGAGAACGTTTCTAGGAGTTTTTAGAGCTCGTTTTCAGACCTCGTCGGTGCGGCACGAAGGAGGTGAATCTGTTATTGACCTGCTTGTCGGTGCTGTGCCCGTTGGGCTTGGGGGGCAGCGCGTAGTAGTCGCAGACAGAGCAGGACAAGTTGTCCATCAAATTCAACTCTCCCTCCATTGAACCCTGGATGACCAGAGAGACCGGGTCAAACAGCGCCCTCCTCTGGACAAACTTGGATAGAGGAGAAAAGGAGAAAAGAAAAAGAGGAAACAGTAGCATGAGTGGGAGGAATGATAGATGAGTGAAAGACGTATACACACACAGATGCAGATACATGTATAAAGAAGAAAAATACAGAGTATGTCAGGTAGTTGCAGACATTCAGACAGCAGGATCTGGTTTAGGTTTTAATAATTGAACTGTACATGGGTGAGACTGTTTTAATCCACGTGTATTAACCACCTCAGCCACACGGGGGCGCTACAGCTCTGTTAACAACATATTTAATGTAAGGCAGCAGAGACAACTGGAAGTACCGTCTTCCTCTCACATGAAATTCCCTGTTTGAAAATATCTGCAGAGGCTAACAGGAGGTTGAGGTGCAGAATTTCCACAGCACTGGCCTGTCTGCTGGCATCAGGGATCACACATAAACACAGTAAACGGTTGAGTCACAGGCTGATAAATAAATAGCCCTTTTGCTCATAAAAAGAGGTACAAAATATGGAGAGATTAGATCAGTGCCGAGGTCAGACAAATACATCTTTACCCACATCTGTCCTGGTTTTATCTAGAAATGTCTCACTGAGAATGTGAACTCCATCATCCTGAGTGCTCCTCGGTGAGCGCTATGGTTTCAACTGACCTGAGAACAAATGATCAGAGACCTAGGGGGTCTTATGAGTGGACTCCCAGCCAGGAAGTGACCACTGAGCATCTGTTGTCCGTTGGCAGTCTAAGAGGAACAATCTGACCTCCACTTTTTCAGGCTGGCTTTGGTGTATTAGTGTGAGCAAAGAGATTGCACCATTAAGAAAAACCTGACTGAAAAAAGTTGAGAAAGTTTGCAAATGTGGTCTTGGTAAAACATGCAAGTTGGGTTTGATGAATGAGGACATCACAAATCTAATCTGAGACTTAACAGGTTCTAAAATAATCTAATCAGAAGTGTAAAAAACAGACTCCACCATGTCATTTTTGATTGAAACGTCTGAAACCAAGAGACTTGAAAATGGATGTTTACCCATAATGCACAGCTCTATGTTTGGAGATAAACAACTAACATATCAGCACAGTCATTCCCAGCTGTCAGCACGGTGGTGGAGAGCTAATGGTTTGAGTTTGTTGGAGTGACTGGGCCCACCGTGATCTCCTCTGCAGGCCAAAGAGTTCTAGAGTATAACGTGGGTCTCTCTGGAAGATGATGTTTGGACCAAATGGGTCATAAAACAGATCCAAGATCCCAACCACAGAATTCAAATCTGTTTTATATAGCGCCAAATCACGCCAAGAGTCATCTCAAGGCACCTGAGTTCTGGACAAAACAAAACGATAACTGCAAAAGAAAAGAATCAAGTTCTGCAACAGTCCAGTTAACGCCCAGACTTCAGTCTGACCGGGATGCTGTGGTGGGACCTGCAGAGAGCTGACTAGAAACAAAACTCTGTACACCCTGCTGAGCTGAAGCAACATTGAACAGTAGAGTAGACCAGAACTTCTTCAGAACCTCGTGAGAGACGGATGAAGTCAGAGAGACAAATACTGAGAGTTCTTTATAATAGAGGAGGTTCTGGCTATTTAGCTTCATTTGAATTAAACACATCATCACATGGTAGAGTCTGTTGTATGTTTCTGGTGTTAGGTGTGAATAACTGTAGTTAAAGACCTGGGGACTCATTTATAAAGCTTGCTTGCGCACAAAACGGGGTCGGAAAACTGCGTAAGCAACTTTCAACGCAAACTTTGGGATTTATGAAAGAAAACTTAGCGGAAAAATGTGCACAACTTTAAGTTGACTAAGGACCTGGCTTATGCACATGTTGGACATGGAGAGCACCTGCAGCGCTGCTGCTGAGAAGATACAATTATGAAATCCTGCAGCATTATCACTTGTACCGCTTCGTTTTCTCACAGAACAAGACCCCCACACGCACACACACACACACCACACACACACACACACAGCCTGAAGCGCAGAATACATAATACAGAATATCAGCAGGGGGACAGATTGAGATAGAATGTCATGCGTCTGTGACAGTGTGTGTCCTGTCACTGTGACCCGATCGATCATACACCCTGGCTACTTGTACAGGGGAGATCTCTGTTTGGCTGACTGGTTAGTGGGCGTGACTTTCACCCGGGAGTCTGGGGATCGAATCCTGACTGGACCATTTTTTTTATATCCGCCACAGATCTCTCTGAAGAACTCACAACATTGACGGCTTCAGCAACGCTGTGCCACTCCGTGGATTTTCTCTTATTTGTTTTGCAAAAGTACTTCCTTTCATTTCTCCACCTCACCCACAGGTACCTCAACTTCTGCTTGTGTGAAATAGCGCTTCCTTGATCTGCCTTGATCTACGGTCACCATGTCATTGGCGGAGCGTTGTAACAGCCGGCTTATGTACATGCATGAGATCCACAAGGCACTTTGCATTGACTATTTATGGCAGTAAGTGGGCGTGGTGAGGGCGGGATGTGACTAAAATGCAGCTGAGAAACATTCTCGTTAGTCTCTGATTTATGAAGTGGAGATTGCGTGCAGCTGTGCGTACTCCATGTTTGATAGATCACAAACCTGCTGGGCGTAAGTACATTTTTTTTTTGCTGAGCTCAAGTACGGTTTTAGTAAGGATTCTACGCCATGTTTGATAAATGAGACCCCTGGTCCTCACATCCTTTTAAGTTGAACCCTAAAACTGGAACTGTATGTTGCCTCAGATGAATCTTGTAGTCACTACCATCATAGTGGTTAAAAGTCTGTTCATCTTTGAAACTTTTAATTTCTTATTAAATTAATTAAATTAACCTCATCCCAACCCAAAAGCAAGTCAGATCTGAAAGGACACCACACAGACCCAGCTCCATAATAGAAAAACTGTTCTGCTTTGAATTAGAACAGAAGAAGATTTACCTCCAGCTGGGGCTCAGGGTATGAAGGGGGTTCTGCTCTGATGTCTACAGAGTCTCTGGTTATATCAGCAGTGGGTGAGTCCATAGGACCTTCCCTCTCCTGCTCCACATCCCCGCCTTCAGGAGACCTCCAGGAGGAACCCCCTGAACTTGTCCTGTCCGTGCCCAGCGCCAGAGGGTGGAGTTGTGGTGACCTTGTTACGGGCTCTGCCCCCTCCATCTGGAGTTCCATTTCCAACTCTGCCTCCAGCTCCGCTTCCTCCTTGGCTTCCTTGTTGCTCTCCTCTAAGTGCTTCATCAGCACTGCAATGACAACGTTGACCAGCACGAACTGGGCAGTCAGAACAAAGGAGACAAAGTAGATGGGAGAAACAACAGTGTTGTAGCAGGTCCCGGTGTCTTGGGCGCAGTCCCTCAGAGTATCCTGGGAAAAAGGTGGAGACCTTCCATGAGTGTTTGCTTTAATGCTTGTTAGAAGAACATCTCCTGAACAACTTAGTTGAATTGAGTAAAACCTGGTCTTCGCTGCATCTAGATCTACAACTGACTGACTTTTTGAGTCAACTTCAGATGGCTGTCACATCTAATCCATCAATTTTACTGTGTGAGACAAAAGAAATACTTCAACTATACAACCAAGAATTTCTCCACCACAGTAATTACTAACCATGGAACATCTCCATTTTGGAGTTCTAGCTTGTTTACTCTTCACTAATGCTTGGGCTGCAGCAGGCTGAAGGAGCATTTCCAAGTCTGCATCCGTTTCCACGAACTCTAGGGCTGTTTTTTGGTGGTAGTTACTCTGTTGTATGAGCAGAGCATGATGGGCAGGAAGTTGTATGGCCATTTAGGTTTTCTCACAGGCGGAAAGGAGCAGTTGGGAAAATCCGCATAGCCAGTATAGCTCATACCAATGTAACACGCTAAGGAAATTATACGCATGTCTAATTTTTGGTGCACATACACAGCTGAATGTTGCGTGCACCGCTGACTTAGCATGTTGTAAGTATTGACCTAAATTTGAGAACTAGTCACACAATATATTTCAATAAAAACACAATCTTAGTTAAAAACACATTCAATGAGTGGTAGGCCTTTGTTTTTTATGTTTTGTTTAAAAACAAATCAACCTGCTGCCCCTCATTTCCTGTAACTTTTGAATTGTTGCCCTTTATTACAAACATTGCTGACAATAGGGTTGTCACGGTAACCGGTGTAGCAGTAAACCCCGGTAAAAAAGTTGACAATAATAATAACCGTCTTGTTTTGAAAAAACTATATTATCTCGGTGGATTACCGTGGCTGCGGTGTAGGCGCGGTGACCCTTACCAGCCACCGTATCATCTGCTGAAGTTGCCGGCGGCACATGCGCACTTTGTTGTTTACAACCAAAACTTTCTTGAAGCTAAAGCTGAAATCATGGTCAAAGGAGGAGACGGCAGCGCTCAGGACATTTATTATCCCTCAAAGAAGACAAAGTGGGAAGTACGGGCATCTTTTGGATATTTGAAGAATGCCGAGGGACAGTTGATAGAAGACGGCTGTCCTGTTTGCAGCACGTGCAGAAAAAGTGTCTGTGAAAGGCAGCAACGCTTCAGATCTCATGACACATCTGCGTGACCATCACCCACAACTCTACAGTCAACGCAAGGCAAGCTAACGTTAGCGTTTTAGCTAAAATGCGTGATCCGAGGATTTGGGTTGAGGGAGAATGCAACGAGTCGCTATATAAAGCAGCCGCAGCGCCGCTACCTGCATATAAACCGTGTCGCGGACACCCCCATGTTGAAATGACGCTATGCATTACGGGGCTCCCAGGGGCAGAGAAGAGTTGGTCTCTCTCCGAGAATATTTATGAATTTAACAACGATTACTGCCTGATGACATTTTCCCACATCTGCAAAGCTCACTGGAAGGACACAAACCGAGGACGACATTTTCCTGATATAGGGTTTATTACTCAAGTAAGGGTAAAAAAGTATCTGATTAGAAGGCTACTTGAGTACTGAGTATCATCTGATCTAATATCTTTAAAATGATGACATCAAATAGACAAAAAATAAGAAGTTATGGGCAAATGTTGGTATTTTAAAGACTAAAGGGGAAAAATGTAAACAAACAACATAATTACAAAATAACACATTTTAGGCAAAATTTAGACACAAACTGAGGACAATATTTTCCTGATATACAGGGTTTATTTAGTTGCCTGAAAATGTAACACGTTTAAAAAAATACCGCGATAATACCGAAAACCGTGATAATTTTGGTCACAATAACCGTGAGGTTATACATCGTGACAACCCTACAATACACACAAAAGTGACTGACACATAGACCTACTTGAAGCAGAACACAAGCAAACACCCCATCACCATCGCTTGTTGATAAACTTTTGCACTGACTGTGTTTTGCATGCTGAACACATTTGTACATAGGAGAATGAACATGCTTATTAGGATGTTTTACCTTCATAATGCCATTCCAGTTGTCACCAGTGGAAACCCTGAAGAGCAACAGAAACGCCATCCCAAAGTTTCTGAATGTGGCGTAGCGGCCCAGACCTTCACATGGATGTAGCTCATCGCATACTGTGGAGACGAGGAGTAAGATGAAGGACGCGAGCAGACAGAAACTATGACCAGAGCACAGATATAAAGACCTATAAAGGGCTCTTTCCAGGGCTGTGCTGTGAAAAATCGAGAGATTTCGTTTTGTAAATGGGAAAACTACAGATCAATACGGTGTTTGAACAAAGGATTTCTGATTAGCAGTTAAAAGCTGGTGGACTAAATCCTCTGAGGGCAGAAAGGAACACAAGTTATGTGCACCTGTGCACCCTTAGCTTTACATCTTAACTGCTTAAATTTTACAAATCTCCTTACTCAGATCGCCAAACAGCTCCACTCCCAGTGCTGCAAAGATGAAGAAGAGGAGCATGAAGAGCAGGCCCAGGTTTCCTACCTGCAGCAACAACAAGCAGATGGTAAGAGAGCAGGCAGGTTGTGCATCTTAACCCCCAGAAACCCAAACTTAGAAAACAACTGCAAAATCTTTTTTTAACCTTTCACATGTTGTTCTAGGAGGCCAGATAAACGGGCCTATTTACACATTTTAACAGCCAATAGTTTTGCAGAACTGAACAATAGGTCCTATTAGCAATGTAAATGTGGTTTTAAAAAGAAAAAAAAATGGGGAAGATTTATTTTTGTAGACTTAAATCTGATGTTGTAATATTTTTATGTAGTCACTCCCTACTACTCACTACTTTATAATAAATGCTGGAGCTTCAAAGTCTAGCAGTGCACAAGACAATGTTTTCATTTAAGGCTGGACTGTAAATCACAAGTTCACATAGTTGGTTCCAGCTTCTGTTTACATGCCAAACAATGCTGGGAGTTGGGGAAACAAAGCTCAATTAGTCACTTTTGGACTTTTTATTTATTTAAACATAATTGTATACGGAGGAATAACCACTTGAGATGAAACATCTCGTTTTTGAGTGGGTCCTCCTTTACAACAAAAAGAAGAACAAAAATTAAGAGCAAGACAGCAGAGCAAAAATCAAAACATTACAACAATCATTTACAGACACACACACACACACACACACACACACACACACACACACACACACACACACACACACACACCCTCAAAGGCTAACAATACTTCACCCCACACGACACGACCCCAACTAGCGAGGACAAAACAAAAGCAACAGCCAGTTGAACAAATACAATTAGTAACATAGACAATTATTCCTGAAGATGATCGACCAGAGCCCTTCGAAAAGTTGTGAACGATGTTAAACAACGAATAGATAAATGAAGATTATTCCAATCACATGGAGCCTTAAAACTAAGAGCATGTTTCCCTACCTCTCTTTTCACTCTAGGAACAACAAAAAAGAGCTGGTCATTATGCCGCAGGCTGTAAAGTGATCTATAGGGAATTAAGTGTATTTTAAGATAATCCAGATAATTAAAGTTATACGTTTTAAAAATGAACTGAAACCAGTGAAACTGTCTCCTGACAGCAGGTGCGAACCAGGAGAACTGTTGATACATCACACTTCTATGTGTCCTAAATGGACAACGGAGAACAAAATGACAGAGACTATTATAAGCAACATCAATAGACTGCAAGCAGGAGGATGAACAGAGGAAGACGTAGACGACATACTGGAAATCCTACCAAAAGGACAAACAGAAACACTAACACAACACTTGAATAACATTGACGACACAGGCAACATAAAGTTCACATATGACTCAGAAAGAGAAGGCAGCATAGCATTTATGGACATGAAAATCACCAGGCAGACCGACGGGATCCTAAACATAAACACATACAGGAAACCAACACACACAGACCAATATCTATTATGGACATCAGAACACCCCACCATACACAAAATGTCAGCAATCAGAACATTATATCATTGAACAAACATAATAACAGAAGAAAGAGACCGTAAACAAGAGGACAAACACATACAACACGCTTTAAAGACCTGCGGATAGCCGACATGGGCAATAAACAAAGGAAAACAACAAACAACAGCAGAAAGAAAAAACAACCAAAGCAAAGAACCAGAAACCCAGAAAGACAAGAACCAAAACCAGTGATAACCCTACCATACATCAAAGGCATAACAGAAAAAAATAAGAGCAACAATGAAAAAACACAACATAAACACACCAACAAAACCATACACAACAGTTAGAAACAGACTAGTACACCCAAAAGACAAAATATCAGCTGGACTTAAATGTGGAGTCATTTACGAAATCCCATGCAAACTGTACAATAAAACATACATAGGAGAAACCGAATGCCAACTCAACACACGAACAATAGAACATAGAAAGGAGTGTGAGAAAGAAACAAGTCAAAGACCTACAAGAGCAGCGAAACAAGAAGCTGAAAGTACAATAAAGAAGTCAGCCGTAACAGATCACTGCACAAGAGAAAACCATATAATGGACTGGGACAACACAAGGATCATAAACGCCGAACAACAGAAAACATAGAAGGAAGAGACGCCACCATCAGTGTCAGCCTGACAAAGTTTGCAGCCACAAACGAAACGTTGCAGGTAAATAAAACCTTTCTGTGTTTTAAAATGAACTAAAAGATGGAATTGGAACTTCAACACAGCAAGAACACACCAAAGAGGAGGATGAAGTGTTCTGACAGACAATGTCAGCATAGTCCAAAATAGGCAGAAGCAGCTGTGTGGTGATTCTTTTCCTGAAAAAAGCTCAGTTAGTCACTTTTGGACTTTTTATTGTAAAAAGGTTTGAATTTGTGCAACTTAGGACGTTGCCCGTCTGTCATTTCCAAAGCCCTAGCTTAAGCCCGGTTCACATGGTAGGATTCTTAAATTGTCGTTTGATTTTCTAAACATTAAAGGTCACATAGGTGGCGAGAAAAAAAATCACAGATATAGAAACTTTAGCCTTGCTGTATGTGGTCTGCTGCAATCTAACAAAAACACCAAACTGATTTCATACAAGAAATCTCTCCAGATGAAACACATTCTCACACCCAAAGCGGCTGAAACTGACGAGGGGTGGCAAAGCATTTGTTTCTGACGCATCGGGAGCCCCAGTGCGTTGGGAGGCGGCTAGCTGCACCAGAGCAATGCTTTCCAACCCCCGCGGTAAAATGGATATTTCACCAACATTTAACCTCTAACCTCTAGCGATATAACTTTCCCCTCACGCCCATCCTAACCTTAACCCATTTGTCATTCTGAATTTCCCGTTTACCGTGTTTGAGAGCAACGAGACAACTAGAAGCAAAGTTTTCAATGCACAAGTGGGTTAAGGTTAGGACGGGGGTGACGGGAAGGTTTAATAGAAAGAGAGTAAAGGTCACAATTTGGTAAAATCTACGTTTTACGGCAGGCGGTGGAAAGTGATGCTCTGGTGCAGCACGTCGCCCCCGTTCGCATCGGAAACAAATGCTTGGTCACCCTTCATCAGTTTTAGCTTCTTTGGTTGTGAGAATGTGTTGCGAGATCAAACGTGACTTTGGAGAAAACAAACATAGTGGAGGAAACGTGTGCAGCATGCTTCTGTCATCTCTCTTTCTGATTGGTTACACAACCAGAACAATTCACCATGTTTGAAAGTCCCATATTATGAATGGGGTTGTGAGGGATTTACCCCCCCACTAACAGTCATGTCTTCTGTTTCTGTTTAATCCCATATTTTTGGGTGTCTTTTTAAATCAAATTAAGCTTGGTAATCTAGAAATTACTTCAAGTTAAAGTTGACTTAGTTGTGATCATCACTCCTTTCCTCCTGAGGTCAATTGTCACAATTGCACAGGTTTCTTCAGCCACTCTGCTGTCACATGCCTCCCCCACCACCTCCACCACTGTGAACACTATGGTCCTCGCTGACCACCCCTTCCCCTCCACTGCCTTCTCAGTGACAGAAGAGGATGTACTTAGGCTTTTCCGTAAGCAAAACCCACGGAAAGCCCCGGGCCCGGACGGTGTCTCCCCCGCAACCCTGAGACACTGCGCAGAGGTACTGTCTCCGATCTTCACGGACATCTTTAACATCTCCTTGGAGTCCTGCCATGTTCCAGCCTGCTTTAAGCTGTCCACCATTGTCCCTGTCCCTAAGAAACCCCATATCACTGGACTGAATGATTACAGGCCTGTGGCGCTGACGTCTGTAGTCATGAAGTCTTTTGAGCGCCTGGTCCTCCCTCATCTCAAGTCCTTCACCTCTCTCCTTCTGGACCCTCTGCAGTTCGCATACAGAGCCAACAGGTCTGTGGATGATGCCATCAACCTGGCCCTCCACTTCATCCTGCAGCACCTGGACTCCCCGGGAACCTATGCTAGGATCCTGTTTGTGGACTTCAGCTCTGCGTTCAACACCATCCTCCTTGCTCTGCTCCAGGACAAGCTCTCCATGTTCAACGTACCCAATTCCACCTGCAGGTGGATCACTAACTTCCTGACGGACCGAAGGCAGTACGTGCGGCTGGGGAAGAATGTTTCCACCACTCAGACTATTAGCACAGGATCTCCACAGGGCTGTGTACTTTCTCCTCTGCTCTTCTCCCTGTACAAAAACTGCTGCACCTCGAGCCATGACCATTAATCATTTTCCCTCTGGGATTAATCAGTTTCCCTCTGGGATTAATAAAGTATTTTTGAATTGAATTTGAATTGAATTGAATTGTCTCGTCTCGTCTCGTCTTCCTCCGCTTATCCGGGTCCGGGTCGCGGGGGCAGCATCCCAACTAGGGAGCTCCAGGCCGTCCTCTCCCCGGCCTTGTCCACCAGCTCCTCCGGCAGGACCCCAAGGCGTTCCCGGACCAGATTGGAGATGTAACCTCTCCAACGTGTCCTGGGTCGACCCGGGGGCCTTCTGCCGGCAGCACATGCCCGAAACACCTCCCCGGGGAGGCGTCCAGGAGGCATCCTGACCAGATGCCCAAACCACCTCAACTGGCTCCTTTCGATCCGGAGGAGCAGCGGTTCTACTCCGAGTCCCTCCCGAATGTCCGAGCTCCTCACCCTATCTCTAAGGCTGAGCCCGGCCACCCTACGGAGGAAACTCATTTCGGCCGCTTGTATCCGCGATCTCGTTCTTTCGGTCATTACCCAAAGCTCATGACCATAGGTGAGGATTGGGACGTAGATCGACCGGTAAACCGAGAGCCTGGCTTTCTGGCTCAGCTCCCTCTTCCCCACGACAGATCGGCTCAGCGTCCGCATCACTGCAGACGCCGAACCAATCCGCCTGTCGATCTCCCGATCCCTCCTACCCTCACTCGTGAACAAGACCCCGAGATACTTAAACTCCTCCACTTGAGGTAGGACCTCTCCCCCGACCCGGAGGTGGCAAGCCACCCTTTTCCGGTCGAGAACCATGGTCTCAGATTTGGAGGTGCTGATCCTCATCCCAGCCGCTTCACATTCGGCCGCGAACCTACCCAGCAAGAGCTGAAGGTCAGAGCTGGATGAAGCTAGGAGGACCACATCATCCGCAAAAAGCAGAGACGAGATTCTCCTGCCACCAAACTCGACACACTCCACACCACGGCTGCGTCTAGAAATTCTGTCCATAAAAGTGATGAACAGAACCGGTGACAAAGGGCAGCCCTGGCGGAGTCCAACCCTCACTGGGAACAGGTCCGACTTACTACCGGCTATGCGGACCAAACTCACGCTCCTCTGGTAAAGGGACTGAATGGCCCTTAACAGAAAGCCACCCACCCCATACTCCTGGAGCGTCCCCCACAGGGTGCCCCTGGGGACACGGTCATAAGCCTTCTCCAAATCCACAAAGCACATGTGGATTGGTTGGGCAAACTCCCATGCCCCCTCCATCACCCTTGCAAGGGTATAGAGCTGGTCCACAGTTCCACGGCCAGGACGAAAACCACATTGCTCCTCCTCTATCTGAGATTCAACTATCGATCGGACCCTCCTCTCCAGTACCTTGGAGTAGACCTTTCCAGGGAGACTGAGGAGTGTGATCCCCCTATAGTTGGAACACACCCTCAGGTCACCCTTCTTAAAGATGGGGACCACCACCCCGGTCTGCCACTCCCTAGGAACTGCCCCCGATGACCACACAATGTTGTAGAGACGTGTCAACCATGACAGCCCTACAACAGCCATAGCCTTGAGATACCCAGGACGAACCTCATCCGCCCCCGGGGCTCCGCCGCTGTGTAGTTGTTTGACTACCTCAGCAACTTCTGCCCCCGAGATCGGACAGTCCATCCCCAGGCCTCCCAGCTCTGGTTCCTCCTCGGAATGCGCATTGGTGGGATTGAGGAGCTCCTCAAAGTATTCCTTCCACCGTCCGACTATAGCCCCAGTTGACGTCAGCAGCTCCCCATCCCCACTGTAAACAGTGTGAGCGAGTTGCTGCCTTCCTCTCCTGAGGCGCCGGACAGTTTGCCAGAACCTCTTTGGAGCCGATCGATAGTCTTTCTCCATGGCCTCACCAAACTCCTCCCACGCCCGAGATTTTGCCTCGGCAACTGCCACTGCTGCACCCCGCTTGGCTATCCGGTACCTGTCTGCTGCCTCCGGAGACCCACAGACCAGCCACGCCCTGTAGGCCTCCTTCTTCAGCCTGACGGCTCCCCGAACCTCTGGTGTCCACCAGCGGGAATTGAATTGACTCCGTTAAATTGATCAAGTTTGCGGACGACACCACCCTCATCGGGCTCATCTCTGACGGTGATGAGTCCGCCTACAGGAGGGAGGTGGATCGTCTGGTGTACTGGTGCAGCAGCAACAACCTGGAGCTCAGTGCTCAGAAGACAGTGGAGATGATTGTGGACTTCAGGAAAGTCACAGCCCCATCTCTCCCCCTCGTCCTGACGGACACTCCCGTCACCACTGTGGACTCCTTCCGCTTCCTCGGAACCACCTTAGGTGGGAGCCATCCATCAGCTCCCTGCTCAAAAAGGCCCAGCAGAGGATGTACTTTCTGCGGAAGTTGAAAAAGGCCAAGCTGCCAGCCCAGATGATGGTGCAGTTTTACACGGCCATCATTGAGTCCATCCTCACCTCCTCCATCGCTGTGTGGTATGCTGGAGCCCCAGTGAGGGACAAACATAGACTGCAGCGCATTGTGCGCTCTGCTGAGAAGGTGATTGGCTGCAGCCTTCCATCTCTCCAGGACCTGTACATCTCCAGGACTCGGGGGCGTGCAGGTCGAATAGCAGCTGACCCTTCTCACCCGGGTCACAGACTTTTTGAGCCGCTTCCCTCAGGCAGGAGGTTACGGTCCATCCGGACCAGAACCTCCCGTCACAAGAACAGCTTCTTTCCATCTGCCGTTGGACTTGTGAACAGCTTATAAACACACAACCATGCTGGTCTTCTGCACTTGACACAGCATCACGTTATCGGCCATGTTACCATTACCTGCCATTTTTATAGCTGAAAGTTTTATTCTATTTCTATTCTTATTGTGTGTTCATGTTATATGTAGCACATTAGTACCAAAGCAAGTTCCTAGTTTGTGAATTGTTTGTTCACTGACAATGGCAATAAACCTTTTCTGATTCTGATTCTGAAGTTAAAGTTGACTTAGTGGTGATCATCATTCCTTTCCTCCTGACGTCAATTGTTTAAGTGTTGCTATGGAAGTGCACCCGTAGGCAGACCTGATCATTTCCTGCTGTGCTTAATCAGCTCTACTGAAGGAGAAACCAACTGAGTGAAGAGAGAGGGAGGGGAGATGATGTTAACCTGTATCTGTTTAAGTGTACTTGTTGTTTTTGTTCTTTTGAGTTAAGTTAGGATGTAAATATGTAAATAGATTGCTTGAATTTCAAGGATTTCAAGGATGTTGTCCCTGCCCACTTCTTAATGGTTGGCCCTTAGGTAGCTTTAAAAGTCAGACTGGTTTGTCTCTAGGGAGGGTTGGTTGTTTGTGAAGGGGAATCCATGCCCCACTGTCATGGAATGTTTGCAACCAAAAAGATAAAAAAAAGTCAGAGCTCTGCAAGATCCTGGACTCTCTCTTTTCTTCTGGTGACAACAGCTGGTAGCATCCTGAGTCAATGACAAGGCAACGGTTCTGTCTGAACCCAAAACCTTACAGGAGTGGTCCCGGCGTGCTTCCGAGCAGGTCAGAGCACTCATGACACACCACACATAGTAGGAATATCTAGTAAGATTATCTTTAGTTATTTTGGTAAACAGGCATGACCATAAGACTGTAGGAAGAGGAGGTCCGCTGTTTGGACCGGCCCATGTGTCTCTTTGTTGAGGTGCTATGTTTGCATCAAAAGTAACACCCGTTCATGTATAACCAAAAGTGTTGCTTTTCAGAGACCTGTGTTGTTTGTGATAAACCTTTACTGTGAAACATTTACCGTCTCCTGAGAGCTGGTATTTACATCTCAGGAGCCAAACACATGGAAAAGGGGCTACTTTCTGCAATGTTGCATTCACAAAAAGAGGGCAGGCATGTCAGGAAATACCTAATTCATCATCTTCTCCAGTGGCATGTGTGTAAGATATTATTGCAACTACAAATAAATGTTCAAAAAAGTGGCAATTGCTGTTGTTTTACTTGTCATATAACTTCTTTGGTTACTTTAACAGAGAGTTTCAAATTCAAAAGTTCAAATAAATCAAATTATCTTTCGGAATGTTTTTGCAAAAAGGCATCAAGCTGAAATCTTCCTACTTAGCAATTCATTTAAAATGGAAAATAGTTGAAAAATAATCTGAAAAATTATTCCTCCTTATGGACAGAATGAATGGGGCCATGTATCGTGAGATTCTGAGCCACAACCTCCTTCCATCAGTGAGAGATTTGAAGATGAAACGTGGCTGGGTCTTCCAACACGACAATGATCCCGAACACACCGCCCGGGCAACAAAGGAGCGGCTCCGTAAGAAGCATTTGAAAGTCCTGGAGTGGCCTAGCCAGTCTCCAGACCTCAACCCCATAGAAAATCTGTGGAGGGAGTTGAAAGTCCGTGTTGCTCGGCGACAGCCCTAAAACATCACTGCTCTCGAGAAGATCTGCATGGAGGAATGGGCCAAAATACCAGCTACTGTGTGTGCAAACCTGGTAAAGACCTATAGTAATCGTTTGACCTCTGTTATTGCCAACAAAGGTTATGTTACAAAGTAGTGAGTTGAATTTTTGTTATTGACCAAATACTTATTTTCCACCCTGATTTACAAATAAATTCTTTAAAAATTCTGCCATGTGAATTCATGGATTTTTTTCACATTCTGTCTCTTACAGTTGAAGTGTACCTATGATGTAAATTACTGACCTCTGTCATCATTTTAAGTGGGAGAACTTGCACAATCGGTGGCTGACTAAATACTTTTTTGCCCCACTGTAAATCTCACGGAGGTAAAATACTTTCTCACAGCCCTGCATGTTGCAATGAATACTGATTAGAGTTGAGCTTGGGCCACCTGAGTTTTTTAAATCACTAATCGAACTGACACAGTCGGGAAGCTGCAGCCATTTTCCAAGTTCTTTGGATTTTACTCTGAAGCAGGATGAAAAATTGGCAACTAAATGTGAATTTTAACGTAAAGTCCCACAGAGAGGAAAAGAGAGGTTGATTGTTGACAAAAGCCTTGAAACAGAGGTGGCTTTGGGTAAGAAGAGCTGTTGGATCTGCTGTCAGCGTAACTTAGGGTGTAGCAACCTGCTCACACCCAAATACCTCCTGTTATCGGCTTTATTAATTCTTAACTCTTCTGACAAGCTGGAGAATTAGGCCTGGAACAACACTCAGACACTTGTCTCTCTCTGAGTGAGAGTGACAGAGGTGTTATCAGATAATGCTGGGAGCAGAACACTGGTCTTTTTTTAACTCAGTCCAAAAGTTGCTGTAATTTACCGACTCTTTTACCCCTGTTCAAAACAAAACTTTGTACTTTCTTTCCAATCCCTGCAGGGAAATGATAATTTAAATGAGGGTGCACGAAGGTGGACGAAAGGCTCGTGGGAAAATATGATGCAGAGAAAAATAAAAATATGCAGCAATTTAAAATGCTTCTGGGATGTAATTATATGGACATCTTCTGAAAGACACATTAGTAAGGGATTTCTGTGGAAAGCATTTACAGATAAGGAAGGATTTATTTTTATGGGGTTTTGGTGGAGCAGGGTGAATACCTGAGGCAGGGCTTGCATAACGGTGTCCAGCAAAGCCCTCATTCCAACTGCCATCTTCAGGAGCTTCAGCACTGAGGAAACACAAAGTACAAACACATCTCACACACCTGGGTTTGCACAAAACGAGAGAGAGAGAGAGAGAGAGAGAGAGAGAGAGAGAGAGCGAGAGAGAGAGAGAGAGAGAGAGAGAGAGAGAGAGAGAGAGAGAGAGAGCGAGAGAGAGAGAGAGAGAGAGAGAGAGAGAGAGAGAGAGAGAGCCCACAGTGCTGTAATAATGATTAGTAGAAGAGTTTTAGTTCCTAGGAATCATTTGCCATTCTTGCAAAAGACTCCTTCATCAATTCCAGTCAGCGCAAATGACATCACCAAGCATGCAGCATAGCTTACATGGATGACAACAAGGCAATTTGCAATACTTGCAAAGTAGATATTTCATAAAAGGGAGGAAATTTTACACATATGCTAAAGCATTTGCACACAAAATACGCAATAAGTTAAAGTGTTTTGTTTGCTCGTCCTCTGTTAATACTGCAGGTAACTAATTAACTAACACTGTTGGTGTCATTTGCCTTACAATCACACCTCCAAGCTAGCAGATCCCGGCGACTAAAGTCTGACTTGTAGAAGCTACCGTAACACCACACCGAACAAGAAGGTGACTCTGCTTTCACAAGCAGCGTAAATGAGGACATTTGAAAAGACCTTTCCAAACAATATCAGGTACAATTCATTGTTTTTATTGATAAACTGAATATTATATTGCAGGAGAATGTGTGCAATTATTTATTTATTTTTGCAAACTACTGAACTACTTGGGAATTGATAAGGGAATTGGATTGATAAATGGAATTGAGAATGGCATTGGTATTGATGAAAACGTATCAATTCCCACCTGTTACGTGCCGTGCCCCTTATTGGCCACAAGATGGCCCCAGTGGCTTCTGCCTCGCCTGTCTCCCAGTGCCCAGCTGTTTACAATCAGCGTTAATCACTTGACAGCTGTTAAAAGCTGCTCTCCGGCCCTCAAGGAGAAGGTTCAGGGTAGTGTGAACTCTTAGGAGTGTAGTATTCGCTTCTCCTCGTTCGCTTTTGATACATCTTGTTTGCTCGTTAGACTTTGGTATTTGGCTCTTTTTGGAAACTGGAATTAGATTAGACAATTCGGCAACTTGACTTCGGACCGGCTTTAGATTTTGACTTTGGATCTCCCCCAATCTTATTATTCTCGGTTTTCTCCCCACCCCCTTCTGGGGTGGCGTTTTTTGTTATCTCGTTTTGTATTTATCTCCTTTTGTTTTGTATATAGTATTGGTAAGATCCTTTGTACATATTCATTTTTGTAATAAAATTCTTGTTTTTAAGTGACGCAGCACGTTGATTATTATTTAACCCACACACCACTTTTATTACTCCCCTCCTCATCTCTCCTAGAGAGCCGGGGACGTAATAACGTGGGGGCTCGTCCGGGATATATTTATATTTTACCATCTTTCCCGACATATTTTAAGCGTGTGTAAAGATATTAATGGTGTGTTTGTGTCCCTTAGAGTCGGAGCATGGCAACCTTCGATCTGCATGCGTTTGTGGCAGCTCCTTCGCGCCGGCTTCTGGAGAGTTGCCACAAAACCGACCTGCAGCAGGTTGCCGCCCACTTCAGTCTCCCTCTGCCCAAGCAGCTAACCAAGGCTGCTCCTCGACGTTTGGTGGTGGACTATTTTGAAAACCGGGGAATCCTCCGTTCGCCATCCACTCCAGATGTGTCTCCGCCACCCTCGGTTGAGGAAAAAGACCGGCTCGATTTAAAGAGGGAGACCCTCGCTTCAGCTCTGCCTTCCTCAGCTGACCATTCGCCTCTGGCTTCTGTCTCATCTGGAGCTAGTCCTCCCAGCTCACCACTAACCGGAGCTCGGCTAAAACTATGCTTGGCTCGCCTAAAGATCCAGGCAGAGGAGAGAGCCCATGAGCAATGCCATGAACGGGATTTAAAACGAATGGACACCGAGGTTCGCCTTCGGGAGCTCGAGCTACAATTAGCCACCGTGAAAGCTACTTCCCCCTCGAGCTACCCCCTCGCTGCTGATCAACCAGCGGCCTCGTCTCTGTCTCCGCATGAATTGTCTCGAGACGCCATTTCTCATCCGGCTGCCACTTCGTTACCGCCCACCTTTGATGTCTCTAAGTGTGTTTCCCACCTTCCGCCCTTCCGAGAGACTGAGGTGGACGGCTATTTCCAAGCTTTCGAGCAGATTGCGGTGACTCTCCAGTGGCCTCGTGAGGTTTCGTCATTGCTTTTGCAGTGCAGGCTCTCAGGTAAGGCCCTTCAGGGTATTTCGGCTCTGTCTCTTAACGGACAGTTCTAATTATGAGTGTGTAAAAGCTGCCGTGTTGAATGCCTATGAACTTGTTCCTGAGGCTTATCGTCAGCACTTTTGTTCTGAAAAACCTCGGCCTAATCAGACATTTGTTGAATATACCCATGAAAAATCAATTATTTTTGAAAAATGTTGTTCTGCTTCAGGGGTAGACTCCTTAGCTGACCTGAAAGAACTAATTATGGTGGAAGAGTTTAAAAGACATATGCCGGAGAGGCTTGTTTTGTATCTGAATGAACAGAAGGTCTCAACTCTCTCTGCTGCGGCCCTGTTAGCCGATGAGTTCGCTCTCACGCATCGGTCTTGGGAGTCAAGAGCTGACCCCGTTCGACGTAGGACACTCGCTGATACTTCCTCTGACCAGAGTGACCTTCCGGAATGTTTTTATTGTCACAAGAGAGGCCATTTCATTTGTGATTGCTTTCTTCTCCAGCGGAAAAACCGGAGGAGTGAAAAACCACCTCCACCGAAGCCCGTAGCTGTTTGTGCTGTTGTCTCAAACAGGTTGGAAAAATGTGACACCCCTCACTCAAGCTTCAACCCGTTTTTGTCAGCTGGGGTAGTGTCTTTGTTAGGCAGCCATATTACCCAGGAAGTGGTAATTTTGAGAGATACCGGAGCTGCTCAAACCCTGATAAAACAGAGTGTGTTACCGTTTTCTGTAACCAGTCAGGCTGGTTCTTCTGTGTTGTTGCGGGGTATTGACATGGGTTCTGTTCCTGCGGAGGTTCATCATATTCACCTCATTTGCCCTTTGATTTCTGGTGACCTAAAAGTAGCCATTTTAGAGGAGTTACCGACCCTGGGAGTAGACATGATTTTGGGAAACAACGCTGCTGGTGGATTAGTTTTACCTCCTCCTGAGCTCATCTCTCCCCCTGAAATCTGTGCCAACTCAGACTTACTGCCTGCTTGTGTCCTAACCCGTGGTCAGCTTAAGAAAAACTCAGAAATCTCCCTTGGTGATTCAGTGTTCCCGCTGTTAGCTGATGACGTCACCCGACCAGGTCCGGCTGTAAAAACGCCTGATCTGGCCTCTAGAGGTCCGCGAGTGGTTTTGCCTGTTCCTTGTAAATCGTTGGCTGATGTTCAGAAAACAAACCTAAGTTTGACGTCCCGTTTTGCTCGAGGGGAACTTCTCTGTTGTGGCTCAACCTCTGACCAACATGTTGAGTCCTCGCATTCAGTTCTCATGGACCCCCAAATGTCAAGCTGTTTCTGTTAAAAGCTGCTCTCCAGCCCTCAGTCAAGGAGAAGGTTCAGGGTAGTGTGAACTCTTAGGAGTGTGTACTATTCTCTTCTCCTCGTTCGCTTTTGATACATCTTGTTTGCTCGTTAGACTTTGGTGTTTGGCTCGTTTTGGAAATTAGAATTAGATTAGACAATTCAGCAACTTGACTTCGGACTGGCTTTAGATTTTGGCTTTGGATCTCCCCCGCTCTTATAATTCTCGGTGTTCTCCCCACCCCCTTCTGGGGTGGCGTTTTTTGTTATCTCGTTCTGTATATGTCTCCTTTTGTTTTGTATATAGTATTGGTAAGATCCTTTGTACATATTCATTTTTGTAATAAAATTCTTGTTTTTAAGTGACACAGCACGTTGATTATTATTTAACCCACACACCACTTTCATCACTCCCCTCCTCATCTTTCCTAGAGAGCCGGGGACATAATACCACCCCTAATGATCAGAAAAAACAACCAAAAGTCCTTCTTTGCCGTGATGATTGTTGAGCGGAGACCTGCGCCAGACTCATTGATAACATGATTCGAGTCTAGGCCAAGCTCCTCTCTGTGTTAGAACCTCTGACCTCCAGCCCCCAACTGGCCTCCCCTCTCCTGTACCCGCTTCTGTGGAACAAGCTGACTGGGTTTTAATGGAACCAAGGCACCAGAGGTGTGAACGCTGACTTCTCAGAGATCATAGCAGGGGGTCTAAAAAAGACTGCATGTGCGAAGGAGGACAGGAAACCACAAAAGTTCACACTTCAGGAGAATGGGTCTGCAGAGAGGGAGGAGGAAGAGAGCGTCGCTGCAAGAATAAAAACATGACTTTTTCCCTCAAAAGGTGTTAAGAAGATGACCTTTAATTTGAGACAATAATAAAAGAAAAGAAACAGCCCGGAAGAATGAAAAAATTATTATGATGCATGAAGGGGGAGGGGTGGAATAAAAGTGATTGTGGGTTCTGGTGGAAGGAGATGTGAGGTGAGTGATTCCTGCTGGGTCAAGGGTGTGTATACATCGAGAGAGCTCGTTCTCCTCGGGTTTTCTGATGAGAACTTTTCCTATTTAGCCTAAGCTGTTCTTCCCAGTGCTGAGTTACCTTTTTTCCTTGTTGTGTGTGGAATAAAATTTTCCCTCCTTCGGGATGGAATTTAAAGTAATTTGTGGATGCCTCCTTTCCTTCTCTGGGACAGCAAAAGGTGAGTTTGCTGGTTGCTTCATTCCATCCCAGGTTGTTTACATCAGCGTTCACCTGATCAGAGGAGCTGACGAGGGTCTGTTCTGAGCGTGATGAGCTCATGCAGAGTGTTCTGACACAGCAAGAGTCTTCCTACAGCAATATAAAGGTGATTTTACCAGAATTAAAAGCCTAGGTTTTACAAGATAAAATAGCTCTCCACAGAGTAAGGGCGTTTTGTCAGGAGGGGTCATAGGTCAAGTCCACCACCTAGCATCGTGAGCCAAGACCTTGAGATTTAACACCTAGAGTTAGCCCGGTGGCTTGGCTTGAGACAACGATGAACGAAGTTCCTGAAAATGTATTTCCACAGTATTTGTGAAGAAGGCTTAAAGATGCATAAGAATGTCCAGAAGCTGCAGGATCATCTCTCAAAGTTTATCCAGTTGTGGGATCAGGGATCTACCAGAGTAAAGCTGTCTCTGGAACGTCAGCTGGCAGATGAGAGTTCCTCTGCAGCTCAGTGAGGAGAAGACTTTTGGAGGAAGGCCTAGTGAGAAGGGAAGGAAATTAGCCATCATGGGCAGACTGATAACTGGCTAAAGGTCCAGATTGGACTGCTGAGGACTGAAGGACATGATTTGTTTTCTGATTAGTTCTCGTTTTAACTGAATGGAGCATCTAAGATTGTTTGGAGATTTAAAGAGAAACTGTCATCAGTTCGGAAGTCAAACTGTGTGATAGAATTTGAACAATACACATCTCACCAGTTGCTGAAAATCTACCCACTACTTCCTGTAGCAGTTAGCTGTCACGCAATGCTAACACTCCCCAACGGGAGACTCCATTATTGCTGGTGTAACTACTTATACCTTTAACAGAGGGACAGCTGACGATGTACAGGACAGCTTCTTCATTTGTGATCAAGCCTGGTATTCTCTGTTGCTGCTTGTGTAATGTTATCGTTGAGTTAAGCTGCAACAGTAGAGTCCAATCCTGACGGAACGGATAGTAAATAATCAGACGTATTGCAGGTCTTTGTAAGTGAGGGTGTGTTTCTACTACTACACACACTTTTTTTAAACACTCTTTGGGTTAGTAATGAAGCAGCAAAGTAGGTTGCAAGTAATGATGAACAAAACTCCTTCGGATCCTTAATTATGAGGTGAAACGTGTAAACAGAAACCCTTTCTTCTGTAATGTCTGTGCTCTTGATACCACCTGTTCTGCTGATGATCGATTTTTGATGCATCCGATTGGGGCTGCTAAAAACGTCTCCTATGTAATGCTGGCAATGCCTAAACAACATCTCTTTCTGTTAGTTCATTTTTAGCTTGAAAGTGAGTAAACCGCTCCCCACGAGATGGGTCAGATGCGGAGATGAACTTCACCCATGTGTGATGACTAATGGGACTTTAAATACGGTTAGAAGAAGCTGGACGGATCCAGACTGCAGTGTCAGACAAACTGAGAGCCCTCAGTGACTGTGGTGGATGTTTTTTTAATTTTCCATACCTAAAACTACTCTTGCCCACCTGAATGGATATCAAGCTTAGGCAAACTGCTTTGTTTAATCCCATCTCTCTTCCTCCTGCCAGCGCCTTGTCTCCAAACACAACACTTTGTTTTTCTCAACCACCCACACATCCCTGTCTCTCCTGATCTGCCTCCTTGTCATTTACTTGAGCAAAACCTTTTTTATCGACAGCTATTGCTCCTCTTTGTGACTTCTTTCTGCCTCACTCTGATAGATTTGCTGGTCAAAAGTTATCCATCATCCCAGCCAAATCCTTGTATCCCTTCACACTCCCTTTTTAATTTCTCCCTTTATATCTAGCTTCAGTTTCTAACAGCCTAATTCCTTTCTGTTGCTTTGTTTATCAGCCGGCTGAGCCATCTGGTTGACCTACCCTTGGCCTGAACCCTGCTGAGATCTGTTATTTGATAATGACAAATAAGGGAGTCCCGGAGATGCTGCAGTTTTACGAGACTCTTTAAATTCAAAGAACCGTGTAAGAAGCTGTGTTGCAGATGTGTCTGTGGGAGGGATAAGCTGAGAGGAGACTGGATGGGTGGCAGCACTGTACCTCTTGCGATCCTCAGCACTCTCATAATGCGAATAATGGTTGGGTTGATGGGCAGTGAAGCATTGACCTCAATCTCCTCCAAAGTAATGCCCATGATGGACAGCAGCACAATGGCCAGATCCAGCTGGTTCCACCTACAGACACATGCAAACACAGTCATCAGTACCTAACATCAGCTTACATAATGTCTGTTCTCAAACATTTTTGAGAAATGGGATTTCTCCTGAGAACAGTTCAAGAATAACACTGTCAATTTCTACTGTCTGAAGCCAGTCTCTCACTGGGCTGTGACTATTAAAGCTGCTATAGTGAACACTCACCCCTACCCTCAGGTATCTTCCCCAAGACCCTTTCACTGGAAAATCACCATGCAAGAGGAAAGGAAAAAGTGCTGAACACCAGTTGCCGTTTTCTAGGTCCCAACATCTTTTGTTGACCGTGACTTCAAATGGTGTTTTACTTTTTGGGACTCTGATAGTTTGTTCTAAAGTTGAAGTGGCAGCAGCCGGCTGTTTCTCCTTTTCTGATAATATTGAGCGGAGAACCTCTAACACCAGCGGTAGTCTGTTGCTAAATGCATGAGTGCGTAATGAACAGAGGACCCAGTGAAGTGTGGCGGTCTGGCAAGACCAATAACCGAATGGTCCAATGGTTGTTTTTGATCCAAAATGTGTTATTGGCAGAAGATTTTAGACAAATGCGAAAGGACTGCCTTATTATTATTATAGCTCCACGATATATTTATAGCTATACTATGCTAGAACATTGTTAGAAAGCATTAAAAAAAATGTTTTAAGCTAATTTGTTTTCCAAACTTACTTTTGTAGCTTTCATTGTGGGGGTTCCACAACATTTCAAAACATCCATGAGCATTCTGAAATTGCATGAATGAGCCGTGGGACCTTACTTTTGTAATGTTGAAATTTTGAAAACTATTCAAAGAATTTAAAACTCTAATATGGTTTTAGTCAGATCAAACAGTCAGCCCGGGCATGTACAGTAGATCCAGTCTCAAACTATTCTGTTTGCTTCCATGACTCAAGAGTGAGAGATACAAAAACATTGATGATGTTGAGGCTAATTGGAGACAAACAAAAATCTGATATCAATGTTTTGAGGCAATGATAGTAGTTTTGGGGGGGAGGGAGGGGGGGCTTGCAAACCAATTACAAGGAACACTGAAAATCAGAAATTTGATCACGATAAGTGCAGGGTGCTATAATTCAGTCAGTGAGTCAGCAGGCAACTTTCATTTGGAGCTTATTCAAACTAACTAAGATCATTACTTTTTTGTCTTTTTAAACCAATAAATGTATAAAGTGGATTGTCTAAAAAAACTAATGTGGAAAATAAAGAAAGTTGGTGGTCCATTGCCATTGGTCCTGCTCCAGATCTCTGTATGTGAGTAACATCCAAAAAGCTTTAGTCCACATGAAAAAATGGGTTTCAATATTCGAATTTGGTCGTTTGCATACCCACATGTGAGAGGAAACTGGAGTGTTAAATTAGTGAATCAAAGTCAAACTAGACCGCTGCCAAACTCCAACAGGATAAGGGTCTACTGTGGCAAAACCAGTCAGCGTCATAAAATCCTTGGCAGTAGGTCCAAATGCATGAGGTGTGTGTGTGTGTGTGTGTGTGTGTGTGTGTGTGTGTGTGTTTATGTAAATGTGATGGGAGAATACATTTTCACTGTTGGGATTGTGTTGGCGTGGTTTTCAGAAGGAAGCCAGAGATTTCAAAAGTATGAAATCATCGGAGGCGGTTGTGTTTTATGGGTGTTTAACGAGGCCGTTTGTATTCATACAGTGGCACTGAGAAACGTTCACCAAAGCAGCCGAGGAAAAGGCTCATTTAGACAAACTGAACACTGCCTCAGAATTTCAATACGACTTGGAGGTTGAAGAGCATCACCTTCAGCAAACAATCTGTTCAAACCTTAGAATATATGAGGATACACCTACTGAGTCTGAGCTTACACACCCAGAAGAAACAAGCCAGTTAGGGTGCAATTGGGAAACCAGAGATGGTATCATAAATAATACAATTTGCCAGGAGCCAGCATATACAGCAGGTAGTATCAGGAGCATTTTGATGCAGTTTCTGGAACATCACCTCATTTGGTTTCCAGCTACAAAAGATTCATCTTTTATGTATCAGAGAGAATTACCACATCTTTCAAGTGTGTTAGGGGTTGTATTGTGGGTTAAAAGGAGTCTAGGTAGCTGCCTCTGGTAATTGTCTGCATTTGGCAGGTACAGATGTGCTGCTGGCTTTAGACTAGTGGGTATACGAGTGCACCCATTCATGTCGTGAAGATTCTGAACACCCAAGAAAAAAATCCACCATTGTATCGTGTGCCAAGCATTACAGAATACAACTCTACTATTTTGGGAGATGGAGCTTGTTTTTTCAATGCCATGGAAAGCCATTGTGTGGTCTGATGTTGGCATGGCTGAGAGCTTTCAGGTACTGTTCAGGTAACCAGTAGCATTTTAAAGCATTTCACCCATCTGTTCTCAGCTCGGACATTGTTCCTTTTTGTTCATGTCCCAACTCAAATCCCTCAGATATAATAATAATAATAATAATAATAATAATAATAATAATAATAATAATAATAATAATTTGAACATACATAGCACTTTTTAAGACATTCAAAGGTGCTTTCATGCACTCTCACATTCACACACTGCCAGTGATGGTAAGCTACTTTGTAGCCACAGCCACCCTGGGGTGGTCTGACAGAGGCGAGGCTGCCATTGACCACCACCAACACAGGCAAGTTGGGTGAAGTGTCTTGCCCAAGAACATAACAGCAGAATACCCCTGGCAGGAGCTGGAGTCGACCCCATGACCCTTCGATCATGAGACAACCCGCTCTACCCCCTGAGCCCTCTCCAGTAACTAGAGGTGTGCCCCAGGGCTTTATCCTGGGGCCTCTTCTTTTCATCATTTACCTTGCTACTCTAGGTCACATATTCTGTAAATTTAACATTTAATTCCCCTGCTTTGCGGATGACTCCCATCTCTATTTGTTTTCCAAACCTAAATCCTCCAACCCTAAACAGAAATTGTACTTGTTGGTACAAAATCCAATTTTTCCAAAGCTGGCAGTTTTTCTCACAAGCCCTTTTTACAAGACACACCGCCGGCATTTCAGCATCATTTCACAGCAACAATGTGTCTTATAAACATGCCATGCTGGCATGGCAATGTGCAAATTTTATTGCATTCATTCTGCCTTACTTGGTAGTAATATTGCGGTAATTGTCTGTCTTATAAACAGCGACTGCTTTTTGGCGCAACAGAGGGAGGTGTCATGATGACGTGGGGAGTTACTGCCGAGCTCCGATCAGCAACCATATTGAAAATGAAAGTAAGAAACAAGTTTCCGTTTGTAAACTGAAGCAGCTGCGATGATGAACTGAAGTGATGCAGTGCTCCAGAAGCTTCTCTCTATTAGAGCTGGAGGTCAGATCACCAGATACTGCATGGGGGCCTTAGAGGACAGACACCTTTAGAAGCAGCTTGTCAAAAAAATGTAATGATCACAGCTTCAATCATAATAAAAAGTAAGTCCTGTTCAAGTTAAACAGAAGTCTGCTGCAGTGCAGACCGCCTCCATACCCCCTTCTATGCCATTGCGTAATCTTTTGTAAAGAGGACAAGACTGTGCCACATTACCACCACGGTCTGACCACTTACAAACGACCCAAGGTTCCCTGCTGCCACCACGGCATTGCAGCAAATTGATGGCATTACTTTGTAAAAACGGTTTAACTGTTGACTCCTCCACTACGTCTTCCTCCCCTCAGGTTAGAAGCCTGGCAAGGTCACCTTAATGCACTGGCCAACCAGGGCCGTAGCCAGGGGCCTATGATCATTTCAGGTTAAACAAAAATCAAACACTGTTTAATCATTAGACAGGTTTTCTGTGAATCCGATGGCTGCTGATTTATCCAAATTACAAGTGACCTACATCACCCACGGGACCTCTGGACCATGAACACAGAGACAGACAAAGGGCCTTGAGGATAAGATATGGAGGAGAGGAGGAAAAAAGCGTCTACACCCTCCGAGAGCTGGAAGAACAAGCTCTAGTTTAGCTAACATTTTAGTGGAGAAAAGCTAATGCCTTTTGGATCAGTGCTGATGTTTGGAGCTCAAACTAAATAATAAAAGAAAGACGTGTCACAACTCCACACCTCAAGTTACGGGAGGGATAACAGCTGTATCTTCAATGGTTCTCATCTGACTACCCGGCCAAATTCAGACCAGACGACTCCCAACCTTCTCTGGTAGAAAAAGTCTGAAAATTCCCCTTCGACAACAGCGGAGCGAACTGGATTTCCCCTCCACCAACAAGTTTTCTGCTGGGATTCAAATCTAATTTGGTGAGCTAGTCTAATGTTAATCTGCTCTGTGTGTGTGTGTGTGTGTGTGTGTGTGTGTGTGTGTGTGTGTGTGTGTGTGTGTGTGTGTGTGTGTGTGTGTGTGTGTGTGTGTACGTGTGAGTGCTCGCACGCAAGCACAACTTTGCAAATACACTCATGGACCTACTTTATTCTTGCACTAAAGCCAGCAGCTGGATATCAGCTTAATTTATTTTTTTAGTTTTTTACCTGCTGATGTTCTGTGGTGTTTGTGTGCTGAAGATGATTATTTAAAACAGGGGTGGGGAACTCGGGTCAAGGGCCACTATCCAGCATAACTTAGATTCAACCCTGCTTCAACACACCTGATTTCAATCAGCAGGTGATTAACAGGTTTCTGCAGAGCCTGATGAGCTGCTGCACAGGTGACTCTACCACTGAATTGTAAGTGTTGGAGCAAAGACGTGCAGGATACCGGCCCTCGAGGACCAGGGTTCCCCACGCCTGATTTAAAATTTGCAACAAAAATAAGCACAGCACATGTATGTGTGTGTGTGTGTGTGTGTTTCTAGTTACGACCTGATGAGAAATATTTTATTTTATTATTTGTTTTTTATGTTCCCCCTGAGGCATTGCCACCTTACTGTGGTCTGGGGGGTATTACATGCCTCAGTGACTTTGTCGGTTTCACATTGGAAGCATCAGCGGCGTGAAACGGCACCGGAACGGTTTACTCGCTGTGCTCTTTGCTGGACTCGCGAGATCACACGATCCCTCAAGACTTCAGCTCTAGCAAAAAAAAAGTACTTACGCCAAGCAGGTTCGTGGTCGATCAACCATGGAGTATGCACAGCTGCACGCAATCTCCGCTTCATAAATCAGAGACTAACGAGAATGTTTCCCAGCTGCATTTTCGTCACATCCCGACCTCACCACGCCCACTTACTGCCATAAATGGTCAATGCAAAGTGCCTTGTGGATCTCATGCATAATAATAAGCCTTGTTGCAACATTTCGATCACCACCGCAGATCAAGGAAGCGCTATTTCACAGAAGCAGAAGTTGAGGTACCTGTGGGTGAGGTGGAGAAATGAAAGGAAGTGCTTTTGCAAAACAAATAAGAGAAAATCCACGGAGTGGCACAGCGTTGCTGAAGCCGTCAATGCTGTTAATTCGTCAGAGAGATCTGTGGCGGATGTAAAAAAAAGTGGTCCAATCGGGATTCAATCCCCAGACTCCTGGGTGAAAGTCACGCATGCTAACCAGTCACCCAAACAGAGATCTCTCCTGTCAAAGTAGCCAGGACACATGATCAATCGGGTCACAGTGACAGGACACACACACTGTCACAGACGTATGATGTTCTGTCTCAATCTGTCCCCCTGCTGATATTCTGCATTCCGTATTCTGGCTTCAGGCTATGTGTGTGTGTGTGTGCGCGTGTGGGGGGTCTTGTTCTGTGTAAAAACGAAGCAGTACAAGTGATAATGCTGCAGGATTTCATAATTGTATCTTCTGAGCAGCAGCACTGCAGGTGCTCTCCATGTCCAACATGTGCGTAAGCCAGGTCCTTAGTCAACTTAAAGTTGCGCACATTTTTCCGCTAAGTTTTCTTTCATAAATCCCAAAGTTTGCGTGGAAAGTTGCTTACGCAGTTTTACGACCCCATTTTGTGTGTAAGCAAGCTTGATAAATGAGGCCCCTGACCTGTATTTGAATGTTTACTATGTGAAGTGCCTTGAGATGACTCTTGTCGTGATTTGGCGCTTCATAAATAAAACAGAAATTGAAACAGAAAATGAAATTAACATCATACAATCAGCCTATGTTCACCTTGGTAATAGTATTTGCCTTTGGTCTTGTCTTTCTTCTCATTCTGCACCTCATTCACATTTTAGTCACCTCCTGATTTGATATCTGCAACTCATTACTGGTTGGTCTCCCTCAAAAAACCCTCCAAAGGTTTCAGTTGGTTCAGATCGCTGCTGCACATGTCACCACCAACACTCCCCTATCTCATCACATAAGCCTGTTTCTGCAGCAGCTCCAATGCCTACAACGATTCAAGTTCACAGTCCTACTTCTTACCTTTAACTGGTTTTTAAAATGAATGCTGAAGACCTACTTTTATGATCTGGCTTTTAACTTTCTTTGTTAGTTGTTGCTGATGTTGTTGCTGATATTTTATATACTTTTACTTTGTAATTTTCACTATGTTGGTTTTATGTGTTTCATTTTACTGCTGTACAGCGCCTTGGTGGCGTGCTACATGCCTATAAGGTGCTTTAAAAATAAAAGCTGAGTTGAGTAAAGCTATTAGCAATCCTCCCCCCACAAATATCTGATCTTATTCAACTTTGTTTCTGCAGTCCGCTCACTAAGATCATCATTGTCTGTCCACCTTACTGTTCCATCCTTCCATCTTACCTTCATGGACTCTAATGACGGAGCATTATTACCTTCTCAGTGGCCTAGTGGTAGAGTATCCGCCCTGAGGCTGGGGGATCAGGGTTCAAATCCCTGTCGGGTCCAACCAAAGACTTTAACAGTGGGACCCAATGTCTAACTGCTTGATACTTAAGGTGCTTTTACAAGACACACCATGCCGGCAAATCGGTGTAGTATTGCCGCAATGGTAAGTCTATAAACGCGCCATGCCGGCATGGCGTTGCACGAATATTGTGGCATTCGTTCCGCATCACTTGGTAGTAATACTGCGGTAATGGTCTGTCGTATGCACCCTGGCACAACAGAGGCAGATGTCCTGATGACGTGGGGACTTATTGAACAAAATCAGCTGAGACGGCAAACTGGAGCGCCGCAGCGCTCCATGAGCATCTCTCTGTTAGAGCTGAAGCTCAGATCACCAGAGTCTGCACAGGGACTGATGGGGACAAACACCTTTAGGAGCTGCTTATTAAAAAAAAAACTTAACGATCACGGTTTCAATCGCAATAAAAAGCAAGTTATGTCCAAAATAAACGGAAGTCTGCGGCAGCGCAGAGACTGCCCCATACCCGCTTTATGCCGCCATCACCTAATCTTTTATAAAATTGCCACGATTGCGCCACATTACCGCCACGGTCTGATCTTATAAACAACCTTTATCCTCCCCAGGGAGCCGCGGCAAATCCCGTTTTGCAAACGCCATGGTCCTGTAAAGACAGAATTACCTTCCAGGAGTTGAATTGGAGGGTTAAACCGCCAAATAGTTCCCGAGCAAGGCCACAGCTGCAGCTCACCGCTCCCCATGGAGATGGGTCAAATGCAGAGATGAATTTCACAGGTGTGTGCTGATGACTATAGGACTTGAAAACTTTATGATTTACCACCCATGAGAAGACACTCAGGAGTGTTTGAAGACTGTCAGTGGGCTGATTTAACATGAATGCAACACATTTTGTTTGGTGTTTAACACTGGTGTTAGTTTGCAAGGTTTGACAGAGACATTTAGTACACATTGTCACATTTTTCAAAGAAAAAGCTCTTATTTAAATACTAACTTGTCCTTGAAGAAACGACGGAAGCCGAAGGCCACCAGCTTGAAGACGGACTCCAGAACAAAAATAAGAGTGAAGATGTAGTTACAGATCTTCAATGCGTTGTCAAGCTCCTAGGAGGGACATTAGATCAAGGTAAAGTGAGCAGGAGTAAACCAAGCATTATGTTTGAAGTTAATGTAGAAAACTGTGAGATATAGTGAAACCATGCCACAATCACTCATTTAATAGATTGTTTGCATCACTCTTGATTACTTTTTTTCCTCTAATTATCAGTGCAAATGCTGTTTGAATCAACATGATTTTGCTACAAATCCCTTAAACGCCATAAATCCAACTCAGCTCAAGTTTAACTCTCCTCAACTCCTTCTGGTTCAAGTCCATTCAGCTCAATTCAATGGAATTGTTACCCTGCTCCAAAACACCCGATTCAGGGGTTGAATCACCTGATGAGAGAGCCATTAAACTCTACAGAAGCCTGTTAATCACCTACTGATTAAAATCAGGGTTGAAACCTCTAAAATAGGCAAGATGGCGGTCCTCAAGAGTCAGAGATGGTTCTTCAGATTAGAAAACATCATTGTTGCCGACATGTATAGATACTGATCAATGAAAGTAACTGGGACCATTGTGATGTGTTTTAACTTCATTTCCAAGATTTTCTACAATTCAAAACACCCAATTTTATCAAAAGGTAGTCGCAAAGCATAAAGGTGCATATCCATATAAATTATACAGTGTTTGCATTTGTAGGATGAAGCAGCTTGTAAGATCCTACCTCTTTGCATCTAAGTCTAAATAAACTGCTTCCATCTGTGTAGTCATCCTAGCAGACAGCATGAGTCCACGTAGGTGAAATAGTTGCAATGAATATGTTTAGACATTTGTGAAAACTATGCACAAACATGAATACATAAACCCATATATACACATCTGTATTTATACATAGAAATATGCTTACACATATATACAAACACATATTCATACTCCCATACATACATATACCTATAAACTCATGTATAAGCAATGCAAATAGTATATGCACACACACACACACACACACACACACACCCATACATACATGGATACATACTTTCTCACCTGCTTATACACACACATACCTATCCGTCTGTTGAACAGTGCATATACCCACATACACCTATATCTACTCCCAAGCTTGAGTAACGTCATGTTTCTAGTGGAATCATTAAGCAATAAATCATTCCCATGATTTAATAAAATAATAATGTTTTGCTCGTATTTGAATTTATTGGGGTTTTCTGTCTTCCATACAGGCTTAAAATTCTAAAATCTGGGTCAAAAATGTACATGCACATCCACTAATATTCACATAACTTCAGAAAGTTACAACTGCTCAAATCACCTGTGCAAGCATCAACAGGCATCTGATATAGTTCTGGCTAACATTTTACCACTGATCTAGGCAGAAATGGCTAGCGCTTGTCTACACTGGTAATGTTTGGCCGTTATGTGTGTTGCAAAGATTTTCGGTCTTTGGGGAGACCAGTCCACCTAGCTGATGATTTCAGGTGAGGCTGAAGAAACTGGAGGTAGTCCGCCTCCATTATTCAATCCTCTTTGTGCACATCATGATGCTGCCACCTCTGTGTTTGACATCTGGTTCAGTGTTCTCAGGTCTTAAAGCCTCACTCTCTCATACAAACATAAATCTTATTGTGGAAAACCATTGAACTAACTGTCTAACTAACTTCTTTCTTGTTGCTGCAATAGAAACTAGAAACCACAGTCTTACATTGAGAGCTTTGCCAAGTTAAAAGACTTCTAAAATCCCCAATAAATTCAAGCTTGTGAACCCCAAATCATTAAAGTTGCAGGTTGTTTGCAAATATCAATCATCACAAGCCTGAAATCGATGACTGCAACCATACAACATTGTAGGTGAACCAAAAACACGCACACCTTCATTCACAGCATTGTGACAACTACCAGGGTTGTTATCGTCTGACCTGTGGCTGCTCGTAGTGCTCCATAGACATAGTGATGACGTTGAGGCCTATTACGATGGTGATGAACAGGTCCAGGTAGTGGCTGGTGCACATCTTGTGGATGAGGAGCCGAGTGGGGCAGTAATCCGAGTAGTATGGCTTACTCTGAGCTTCTGTTGGAAGTGTGGGTGAAGGGTTGGTGGGGGTGCGGGGGAAGGGAGGGGGGCAAGCGGAAAGAGGAGAAGGTGGAGGAGGAGTGGGGATAGTGGTAACAAGTGAGATAGAAGATAGTACACAGGGACACCGCACAGCTGACCTGAAATGCTGAGGAATAAAGCCAAAGACTCTCTAGAGGAAAAAAGGAGGTTAGTGAGACTTATGGCAGACTCACACTGACAATATCAGTATGTGAGACATGAAGGAATTTTCAAAGGGAAAGGCAGATCAGAAAATCACAGAAGAGATGGGGAGACTCTTGCTAGAACCCCTGTGGCCTAAAGTCACAAGTAATGAATGAATCCTCCCCTCTTATCAACGATAACTTATAGGAACCCATCTTTGAGAAACTGTCATGACAGAGACAGATGTCAGGAGCTCCGGACATCTCTCCCCTTTCTCTCTGCCGTTTCCTTATCTCCTTCACTTCACTGCTCACAGGTGGAGAACATAAAGCAGTAGAAACTTAGCTTTCCATGCCCATCCATCACTCCGTACCTTACCTAATCCCTCTGTCTGTAGCGGAGAGATGAATGGGTTTGGAAGTGGGAATGAGGAAGAGAGAGGAAGCCTGGGCCATCCATCGCCTTATCACAACCATCAGCGAAGGAGAAAAGTAGGGGAATTCAGAGGAGGAAACACACACGCACCAAAAGGTGTCGTGAACATTTTCCACCTGTGCTGTGTGTGCTAACACCATGGCTGCAGCTGCTCCAGACTGAAAGCATGTCTCAAGAGTGTGTGTTTGTGTGTGTAAGGTTCATGATGGGTCACTAGTAGGGTCTAAATTGCATCTCTAGAATTCCCCCCGTACATCAGGGAATGAGAAACTAGGCCTAAGTTAACGGAGTCTGTAGGCCTTACATGTCTGAGTGGATGGAAGCTTTAAGTTGCTATAGTATGGGACAGAGAAGAGTCCTGAAGGAAGAGTTTGGTTCTGTGAAGTGGGGATGTGTAGATCCGTGGTTAGATCATTCTCAGTTTGGAGGTTTAGGGTGAAAAATCTCCCGGGCGTATCAAGCTAACTGTTACATGGCTTGATCAAGAATGAATCCCCATAAGTGTTACCTTCAGTCACAAGACAGAAACCATTAATGGCTTGGAGAGGAGCTGCAAAGAGGTGTGGGACAAGATAGGCCTCTATAATGTGTGCAAACCAACTTCAAGACACGTCTGACCTCTGTGCTTGCTAACAAAGGTATTGCCACCAAGTCCTTATGGAGTAAGATTAGGGCCACTGAAAAGGTAAAAGAAGAAGACATCTGACTTTAATCTCAGTCTTTTGACTCTGCTTTTGTCTTTACTGTTTTATTCTTGTTTAATTTCTAGTAAAAACAATTATTATCTGACTCACAACAATGATGATCACATGAAAACAAATAAATAAATCTGAGTCATCTTCAAAGTGACTGCATAACCTAACAACAAGCTAATGATCTGCTCTCTTAAGGCTACACTATAGTTCAGTTTATCAGAAATCCTCTTTGACTTACATGTTGACCCATTTTCTTCTGGCAAATCTAAAGAAAAAACGGAAGTGATTTCTTTTTCTTTTGCTGAGAGTGGCTGAGGTCTGGCGGGTGTCTTACCTCCTGTGAGTGCTGTTGTATGGAGTACAATCAGACTTGTTACTGTATGGAATTAAGTCTGGATTATGTCTCTCATTATGTGAAATCAATTCTAGGCTCTACAAGGTGTATCCGTGTGTGTGTGTGTGTGATACCAAGCTAAAGGCCTGTTACCTTCTCTTATCATGTGTGTGTGTGTGTGTGTGTGTGTGTGTGTGTGTGTGTGTGTGTCCAGGCAGCCTTCTAGCCCCCTGAACCGTGATGTTGTAAATTAGTGATGTGCCTTCACTCTGCTGATATGGTCAAATGATTCATGTTGTGGATATAACCTGTTCTGACCTGAACAGATGTTGGGAGTAAGCATGTATGTTATCTTTTATCCTCTGTGGAGTTGGTCAAGATGCTATAAACATATAAATAAGACATCTTGTCCAGCTAATGCTGGAGATGACCATTTGATCCTGGGCAGAAGAAAAGGAAGGGGTAATCATGCCACGTCCCCCTTACTGACCAATGGATACGAGAGGAGGTGATGTAATCCAAAAGGAGAAGAAAGGGAGCCTGTGGGAGGCGCTGAGAGGAGGAAGACCAGAAGTGATCGGACATTGTGCTTCATGAGCAGGGGGTGTTGCCATGGAGATGCACCCCTGAAGAAGGCAGAGGAATAAAAGGAAGATATTGGGTCTGTTCAAGAGATGAGCTTGATGGGATGAGTGAGAGTCAGTCAGTCATGGACTGAGCTTTTTGGAGAAAGGCTTTTGACAGTTTTTAGGAGAGAGGGCCTTTGATGGGAGGAGTGTGTGAGGTACAGAGATAGAAAGAAGGAAGCTTTTGCTTTGAGCTTTTTGTCTGTGATAATCTGACCTAGTGTCATTTTTGGAGAGCTTATTCAGCTGAACTTTGCTATAACTCGGTTTATTGGCAAAGAGTTGTTTCACTTTTTAACCCGCTTTGTCTGGGTTTTGTTTGGATTATTATTCTTTTTCATTCTGTGTGAAATAAAACCTAGTTCCTCGGATTCGTGGAACAAAAAAAGGATGAACGAGTGGGGTCTCCTCCTGTTGGTAACCGAGCAAAGGTGAGATGCTGGTTGTAAATGCCATCCCAAGGTATTAAGTTGTTTCCTCCATCCTAGGCTACAGGTAAAGTCAGTTGTCTCCTCAACATAAAAGGAACAGCTGGCAAGGGTCTTAACCTGAAGTGTACATAAGCTTCATGGACTGAGGGTGTGTTGTGAGTAAACTGAGTCTCCCTTGAGCTGCATGAAGTTGGTTTTGCCAGAATCAGAGTCTAGGTTAGCGGTGATTGCTAATCAGCTGCTACAGAGTGTGGGCATTTTAAAGAGTGGCTGGTGTCACGCCCACACAAATAGAAATACAAGTCAACCCTGAGACGTTAACATCTCTTGAAGAGTTAGGCTAGCTTGGGAAGAAGGCTTGCAACAAGTGCCTTCAACCTAATTATTCTGCATCTGGTTTTAGGGACATCCTAGCTGACAGCTCTTTTTGTGCCTGCTGGTAATTATTGAAATTGTCAACAGGGGAGAGCCACCTGAATACAGGTTGTATGGGCTGAACCTCGGGATGGCTGGCTGTGGACTTTGACTGGTGCCGAACACCTACGGAGATGTGCGTGCCAGAAAAGGGCAAACACTATGGCCTCCGGTGTGCTCAGCCTGGCTTTTCAGATAAATGTGCTTCAGCAGACTGACATACGTTGTCACATGTTTGCTTTACAGCACCTCAGTGTTTGATTTGATCTCTGCACCAGTAATTTCCCATCTTGTCAGCTCCTTTTTTTATAAACAGCTCAATAAGTTTAGAGGAGGCACAGCATGACTGCTGGGTAGCAGATTTAGGGCATCTTGGATAAGTCTACGCCGATTGCCTCTAGATCAAAACAGGTGGGTGTAGCTGTTGCAGGATGCAACAGCTTGGTTTACTCACTGGGAGCTCATTTTCACAAGACCCTTCATCATCTGTGTAACCGCAAACATTACTCTTACTCTGCTCTACTTACTTTGTGCAGGTGCATGGTGAGCTAAAGCAGACAGAGACACAAATGTTCCAACTCCCTCTGCAGTTTCCCATTTATCTAAATTTGCCTCAAAAGGCAGACTTGTGTTTTTCTCTTCAGCTGGCCCAATTTACAATCCTCCACAGTAAGATATTTTCAGTTGCTGGGTCGTGAAACATATTTATCTAGGGACTGCAGAGCTAGTTTGTAACTTGGTTCGTAGTCCCTAAAAAAAGAGGAAATCAGTGACGATTGTCCTGACATGATGTATAGGCCAAAGGGGGCAGAACCAAAGATGGGTCAGGCCAATAGGGATGGAGCAGATAGGAGGTGAATCAAAGAAGCAAGCCTAAGCTCTTTTAATGTTTCTCAGTGAGAAAAGAAAAAAGTACCTGTAGTGAGAATTTGTAGATATGCGGTGAAATTATTGAGCTTGCCCCCACTTTGACCAGCGTTGTTGTTGTGTCTTTCACTGATGTAGTGTGAAGAGCCTCCTCTCTTTTCCTCATTATCAGGTTAGGTTTAAGAGCAAGTAGGACCACGGGACCAGTGGAAATGCAGAGAGGTCATGACCAAGCTCTGGGCATCTGTCATGACTGATCGTTGCATTTTCATCTAGAGTTCCACATCAGAACTTTAACAGACCCATCAGGATAATCATTTCAAGGCATTTTAGATCCCATTATTATTGATCTACATTCAAATTGACTCAACCGTTATCTTTTAGAGAACCACAAAATGAATCCTGGTTAGCAGGTGAATAATTTAGTGATGCCGGTGGTTTTTTACGGCCATTCAACTGCAATGGCTCTCAGGTTCTTGATTTTAGTGCCTTGTTTTCTAACCATGTACACTATATACCAGGAAAAACCTGTGTGTGAATATGTAAATGTGGAACCTGAATATGGTCTTGAACCTGCAACCTTTGGGTTGGCAGTTAAGCTCTAACACAGGATCTTTACAAATTGTGTTCATGTTGGTATTAAACACAACATTTTATGTATTGCATTCTGTCATCCCATCAGACCACATGCCTAACTTGTTTTCTCAGTGTTAGGAAAAAACCCTGACCTAGTTACTTGTTTTTACGTTTGGTTGTTTTCAGAAAACTCCTTTCGGCTCGAGGTGGTTTTCCATTAGTTGAAGCAAACTGGTCAAACGGGGGTTTCACGCTATTTGTTTTCTGAGGCCAAGAAGGGTGTTCAGGAATTGTGGGTGTGTGTATGTTTTCAAATGAAACCACTCCACAAGCTTTGGCTGATTGTGATAGGAATCATGGCTTCTGACTTCAGTGTGTCTCTGTGCCTTTCCCTCACCCGTTGCAAAGGGAGCTTTGTAATGTATTTTGAGGTTTGTTACGATTTACCAAATTA